AACAAACAACTGAGCATGCGCGGAGCTGCGAGCATCAGCGCCGATGATTGACAGCCCTTGGCATGACTCGATTGGTTAACCTCGACGGCACCGTGGATTCTGAACTATAGCAAAGAGAAGGGAAGGTGGGACTTGTCCGTAATATTATAATTAATAAAATGACTTATTTTATATCAACATTTAAGGCCAGGAGGTCAATTTAACACATTTCCTAAAATTTTTAATTAATTTAGAGTTACAGACTATCACTTTAAATGTGTTATTCACTATAGAATAATTAATACTGTTTTCCTTTGTCTATTTCTGTATCCTTAGCCACACAAAATTGCACACTGAACAACAATACAACATACAAACCGTGATCTCCTGCCAAACCTGCAAAAAAGCTGATTAAAGATACTCTAAACGGAGTCTGTCGATAGTGTCCCCAACCATACAAGAACTTCTCCATTCTTCACAATGTTCTTCCTGTGTTACTTGAAATAGATTTTTAATTTAATATATTTTTGTGCATGTTGTGCAAAGATGTGTGAAGCACTTTACAAATAAAAAGCTGCTATTTTGAGCTACACTGTCTCTATCTAAAGATGCCCTGGCAAGCAAAACATTGCAGATCATTTTGTGTAAAAATGAATGATTTTAAAGATATGACAATATCGTTATCGGGAGTTGGGAAAAAAATATTGAGATTTATTTTTGCCCATATCGGCCACCCCTAGTTCGATGATGATGCTCCTCACTGGAACTGTTCGTATTTACATGTGTCAGATTCAGATTCAGATTCATTTATTCGCCATTTGCACTAACACTACATTGGAATACATTAGTAAAAGTTCCCAGTGTGCACAGGACAAGTACAGACATAAAACAACATTAAAAGACAAAAATAAAACACATTTTAAAAACAGTAAACAAATGTCACTGTGAAGTTGACCAACTAAAACAGATCTGTACAAGTGCAAAAACATTAAAGTGCTCTGTTCAAACTGCTAACAGCTCGTGGAAAAAAACTATTAGCATAACGAGATGTCCTGCATCTCAGAGAACAATATCTTCTGCCAGAGGGAAGAAGCTGGAACAAGGCTTTTCCTGGGTGGCCAGAAGAGTCATTGATAATTCTCAGGGCACTGTCAAAAAGTCTGGATTGATAAAGAGCCTCCAGGACAGGAAGTTCACAGCCTACAGTCCTCTTAGCAGAGCGGAGCACCTTGTTTAAAGCTCTCTTTTCTTTATCTGTGATGTTACCGAACCACACAGACACAGAACCAACAAGTAAACTCTCAATGGTGCAGCGATAAAAGTTCAGCAGAATCTTAGAGTTAGTGGTAAATTCTCTAAGTTTCCGCAGGAAGTAGAGACGCTGGCGAGCTTTCTTTATGACCCGGTCAGTGTTTTTAACCCATTTCAGGTCATTAGACAGAGTTAGACCCAGAAACTTACACTCCTCTACAATCTGCACTTGGGAGTTATCGATTGCGACAGGCAAATGAGAACTATTGCGGCTAAAATCAAAGACCAGTTCACATGTTTTGGATGCGTTCAGCTGGAGGTTGTTAGCCTTACTCCACTGAACCACGTTTTGGATCTCGGCTCTATAAGACGATTCATCGTTATTGCTGATGAGACCGATGATGGTGGTGTCATCAGCATATTTAAGGATCAGGTTAGAGTCTGAGGAAGACAAACAATCATGAGTGTACAGTGTAAAAAGTAAAGGACTCAAAATACATCCCTGAGGAGATCCAGTGCTCACAGAAACAGCATCTGAAAAACAGTCATTGATTTTCACTCTCTGAGATCTGTCTGTTAAAAAGCTGTAGATCCATTTACACATGGCAACACTTAAGCCGAGAGACATGAGTTTTTCGATCAGTATACCTGGGACAAGACAATTAAAAGCAGAGCTATAATCAATGAACAGCATTCTTGCAACAGATTTCCTATTGTCCAAGTGACTGTAGACAGAGTTCAGAGCAAAGGAGATGGCATCCTCCACACTCTTGTTCTGTCTGTAAGCAAACTGGAGTGGGTCAACACTCACAGGGATCTGGCTCTTAATGAAGTCCAACACAAGCCGCTCAAAAGTCTTCATTAGGACAGAAGTGAGGGCCACAGGACGATAGTCATTAAGGCATGTCACAGGAGTTTTCTTAGGAACTGGGATAATGGTCGACTCTTTGAAGCAGTTCGGCACAGTACAGTTCCTTAGCGACAGGTTAAAAATGTCTGTTAAAACAGGGGCAAGTTGCTCAGAGCACAGTTTCAGGACACGGGGTGGGATGCCGTCCGGGCCAGGGGCTATCCGGACAATGGTGCTGGACAAGACCCGCTGGACTGCCTCCTGAGTCACGGTGAACGCACCTTGATTGAGACAATCAGGAAAGACAGTAGGACAGCCATCAGCAGATTCGAAGCGGCAGTAGAACGAGTTCAGCTCATTAGGCAGAGCTGGGCCAACAGATCCGATATTCCCAGCACTAGGTTTCCAGGACGTGATGGCTTTAATACCGCTCCACATGCGCCGAGGGTCATCTTCCTTGAAATAACCCTTTAACCTGTCTCCGTAACTGCGCTTTGCAGATTTAATAGAGCGTTTCAATGCGTAACAGGATAGCTTATAGGCAACTGTATCGTTAGATTGAAACGCCAGAACACGCTCATGAAGTTTTTGTTTCACTTCCGCGTTCATCCAAGGGTTTTGACTAAAATGTACTTTAATGACCTTCTGTGGGACACAGCAGTCAATACAGAAGCGTATGTATCCAGTCACAGCGTCACAGAATTCATTAACATCCTCTGACTGAAACACAGACCAGTCCGTAGCATCAAAACACCCTTGTAGCTTCATGCTAGCCTCCTCGGACCAACACTGCACAGTGCGAGAGGATGGTTTATGTTCCCTGCTCCTCTGAGTGTATGAGGGAAGAAGGAGAACAGAGGAGTGGTCGGACTTTCCAAATGGAGGTCTGAGACTGGACCTGTAAGCTCCCTTCACATTGCTGTAGCAGTGATCCAGGATCTGTGCTCCTCTTGTAGCTCGAGTCACATGTTGGTAGAAATTTGGGAGTACAGTCTTTAAATTACATTTGTTAAAATCCCCAGCGACAATGATCACTGCATTAGGATGAGCAGTCTCGTATTTATGAAGGATCTCGCTCAGATCCTGTAGTGCTACAGCAGGGGTCTCCAACCTGTAGCTCGGGAGACACCAGTAGCTCGCCACCCCCTTCTAGGTAGCTCGCCAAAGGATTTAGAAATGAAAAAAATCAAATAATATACTGAATATTCCAACATGTATTATCCATTATTACTATTTATTATTGAAAATGCACTTATTTTGTCACTAGTAACAAATATGTGATGATAAATAATGACTGTTCCCAATATCAGGTTCTTTCACACCAATATATAACCAAATTTTTCCCAGGGCCGATTAAAGGAGTAGCTCTCTGCCTTTATTGTCCCGGGAAAGTAGCTCTCTGGGTGACAAAAGTTGGAGACACCTGTGCTACAGTATAGTCCGCTCGTGGGTGGATGTAAACAGCGCATAAAAATATCACAGAAAACTCCCGCGGAAGATAAAAAGGGCGACAGCTCAAGACCAGGCATTCCAGATTGGCAGTACATGTATGGTTCACGATGCGAGTATCGTGCACCAGCGCTGATTGATTAAAAAGCACACACCTCCACCTCTGGATTTCCCCGTGGTCTCCTTATCTCTGTCCGCGCGGTGAACGGTGAATCCCGGGGGCTGAACAGCAGAGTCCGGGACGTTCGTGTGGAGCCACGTCTCGCTGAGACAGAACACCGCGCAGTCTCGGGCCTCGCGCTGGCACTGGATACGACACAGGAGCTCGTCCTTCTTATTGGGCAGAGACTGTACATTCGCCAGGTAGATGGAGGGCAGAGCGGTCTTGCAGGAGCGGCATCTCACGAGCAGACCGCCTCGTTTTCCCCGGTGTCTGCGCCTCCTACGTCGGCTCCCGGTACCCAGCTCCACACCGCGGAGAGCACGGTGGAGACGCCCAGTCCCCCCGCTCTGTTCGCGTCCATTGCCGCGGCCCGCCTGCCATGTTTGACGGGCCTCACGAGTGGGGCACTCAATGAAGTCCAAGCACCTCAGTTCGGGTAAGACCTGCGATACTCCGCAAGCTCGGTCCCGAATGTAGAGAAGTGTCTCTCGGTCGTACTTCACGGTGGCAAGTGTATCACAGACGAATATAAACAACATAGAACAGACAGTGCACACCAGAGCTCTTACTGAGGCGCCCTGACCCGGCGCCATCTTAAATGTGTATTTAATTCATGGGGCCAATTTGGAGGCCTTTTATTTTTTTTCATTGTTATGGGCCTGTTATAGCTTTGTAAAGCAAATTAAAAGATGAATACATACTCTGTATTCATGTCTCATGGCTTATTATTGTTATACAAAAACGTTAGTCATCCTTGTGTTTTTTCTAACAAAAACTCCTGTTAGTAATTTACTAAGTCATGCACTGCAGTATTAAAAAATGATTGTCATACTAAAGGGTCTTTAACAAATCTGCAATAAAGTGTAAATAGTGTAAACTTTACAAAAGCTCACAAAAAACTGTTAACTAATATGTCATGCACTGCAGTATTAGTTTATAATCATGTATACAATTATTTATCATTAACATGTGGTTTAATCATGGTGTAACACACCTATATACCTACTACATATGTAGTAACAAATGGTTACTCCATAATTATTAAATTATTTAATTATAATGAACAAGTGAAGTACATGACGATGTTCAATCTTTTACCCTCACTTTGCTAGTGTGCCCTATTTTACTTTCCCTTGATCAAAGACTTTCCTTCATCCTAAACACTGATCCAAATACCAAATGTAACTAAAATGTGCCTTACGACCCAGACAATATCAATGAAGCTGACTGTCTTTTGGTCACACTTTTTGTTGGTTTAAAAAATGCTATATTTTCTGAAGACACTTGAAACCTGTGTATAATATTTAGGATTGACCGGAAGAAAGACAAAACGGAGCGGAAGATTCTGGACAGTCAGGAGAGGGCGTTTTGGGACGTGTACCGGCCTGTGGTAAGACCATCCCTGACCCTGAGACTGTCGTTGACCCAGAAACCATCCCAGACCCTGACACCGTCCCAGACCCTGAGACCATCCAACACTGTTCTACTCATTAATTCTCATAGCTTTGTGCTCTTCATAATGCAGCCTGGATGTGTGAACACCACAGAGATGGACATCAGGAAGTGCAGGAGGCTGAAGAATCCACACAGAGTGAAAAAGGTGTTTTTTTCCAGAGTCTTCTGCTTTGAATGATCCAGCATTTTACTGATCTGCACTGACGCCAACTGTCAAACTAGGAGTCAAAATAGGAGTCAAAATAGAGACCAGAGGAAGATACTGAAGGGTGAGGCCTCGTCCCCTCAACTCTGCTCTTTGGCCTTCTCCCATGCACCTTCTTTCCCCTAGAACAGAGTTTGGGAACCTTTTTAGCTGAGAGAGCCAAATAAAGTCTACTTGATATCCTTTATTAGTCCCAACGTGGGGATATTTCAGTGTTGCATCACAAGTTATAGAACAGTAGGAAAGAGCACACGGCACAAGTTAAGTGAATAGCTATACTAATTAAAATAAAACACATCTCTATCTCTAGCATCAATAATAAGTTTAAAAACTATCTTGAAAATAAAAAGAGGTGTAAAAGTTTTACATTTGGCAATAAAAGGCAAGTATAAAGTAATGTGTATTCTAGTGCAGGCAAAGTGTTATGTTATGTTAGCATCTGTACATGTTAGCAGCAGTATGTTTACATCTGTACACTAGCAGCAGTATGTTTACATCTGTACATTAGCAGCAGTATGTTTACATCTGTACATTGGCAGCAGTATGTTTACATCTGTACATTGGCAGCATGAGGCTCTGAGACACAGGGACTCAGTAAAGTGACAGTGACATGTGGTTATAACACATTCTGATATAAGTTAAGGATTTTGCAATGATGCATGACACGTGCGATCAAATTGGCAGTGTTCATTTGTCCATATTGTGTGTTGTACAGTCTGACAGCAGCAGGAAGGAAAGACCTGCGGAACCTTTCCTACAAACATCGAGGATGAATAAGTCTGTCACTGAAGCTGCTCTCCAGAGCAGACAGTGTCCTGCAGGGGGTGACAGTCATGGTCACCGTCTGTGGGAGCCATACTTATTTATTTTTTACTGTGAATATCTGATATCTGCAACGCATTTATAGTGAGATTTTAGTCATGTAATTCATGTATTCTTTCTTAAATTACATGCTTATACTGAAGACATCCAGTGCATAAAAGATTCTTACTATGAATGCCTACTAAAAGAGCCAGACACAGTCATCAAAAGAGTCACAGGTTCCTGACCCCTGCTCTAAATGTTGCTCCTCTAAAGACATGTCTTGCCAATGTTTGATAAAATAAGTGCCTTTGTTTCCTGCAGTCTGTGTACGGTGTGTGTGAGGAGGGTCCGCCATCTCAGAGCCCCATCCACACTCCGGCTCTCCACAGCCGCAAGGGGACCAAGGAGGACGTGGAGAAGGAGGTAATGCTCATACACTCTGTAAGACCAAGGGGACCAAGGAGGATGTGGAGGAGGAGGTACACGGTCACGCTGTGTTATGAGGCGTTCAGACCACCAACGCTTCATTGCAACTTCCACGTGCACTGGACGCACATTCAATACATTTCAGACGCAGAATTAAGTACTTTGATGCTAACAGAGTTAAGCTAGGCTTTTTGTGTAAAGTTCTTCTCCAAGAATGCAGCTCTGCAGCGTCTGTGTCCAGAGACCTTCCAGAGATTTCATATAACAGTAGTGTGTGTTCACGGACTTGCGACATAAGTTTATTTTATTATTAAACGGTACTTCTGCATTGGCTAACATGTTAGCAGCACTTGTTTACACTCACGGGAAAATCTCAGGCTGGAAGCATCTGTTCACAAGCACTGTCCCATTTTCAATCCTGGTTTAGCTCCTGCTTTGGCTGTTTGTGTTGAAATATGTTTTGTCTTTCGGGATAAAACACAGACAAGTTGAGAGTTTAATAAAACCTTTGTATTTGCTTGAAGTTTGCTGTAAAGTGAAGACTTGGGTTTTTTTTATTAGCTAAATCAAATTTAAAAAAACAACCCCGTGTCTAGAACACAAAAACCCAAAATAATCAAATTAAAGGTGGACCTGGTGGGCCAGCCAGGGCCGTCCGGGTCCGATGTCTACACCCTAACTAAAGAATAGGCAAAATCCCAAATAGTGACACCCTCACCATCAAAAATGCAACCATCGGACCCTACAGATCAAACAAAAATAAGGACAGGAAATAGGCAAACAAACCGCTAAATAAACCAAACCGTCTGAAGAGCCCGCAAACGGGACCAGAAGGGAATGCGCAGCGCGTCAACGCTCACCTCAGCTTGTGTAGCAAAAGAGGCTAAGAGCAGAGAGGGGCAGGAGTGCACCAGGACAGCTCCTGGCCCGAGCTGCAAAATATAAAAAGTTAACAAAATTTTTCTAAAACATTGCTGTAAAAGATGCTTTTAAAACAATCTCACAACCCAAAGTGACCCAATAATACCTGGACTAAAAGAGAAGACAACAGACCTTCCCATGAAATATAAAGCATGTATTTGATCTCTGGCCCATACTCTCCTCTGCATTCCTCCCTAGACTACACAGAGACAGCCTCAGCAGCCGAGTCCCTGCGCGCTCTGCGCAGTGTGTACACAGACGAAGTCTTCTCTGAGTCCCTGGGAGGGGTACTGGACAGTGCACCAACCGCAGGACTCCATTATTCTCTTGAGGGACTTCAACGCCCCTTTGTGGGAAATGCCAGTGACACCTGGAGAGGGGTGATCAGGAAGAATGGCCCCCCTGGTCTGAACCCGAGCGGTGTTCAGTTGTTGGACTTCTGTGCTAGTCACAGTTTGTCCATCACGAACACCATATTCGAGTACAAGGGTGTGCACCATGGCATGTGGCACCAGGACACCCTAGGCGGAGGTTGATGATTGACTTTGTTGTCGTATCATCTGATCTTCTTCCGTGTGTTTTGGACACTCAGTAAAGAGAGGGCTGGAGCTGTCAACCGATCACCACCTGGTCGTGATTTGGATCCGCTGGCAGGGGAGGAAGCTGGTCAGACCTGGCAAACCCAAGCGTGTAGTGAGGGTCTGCTCGGAACGCCTGGCTGAGCCCCCTGTCAGACGGGAAAGGATGGGGAAATCGAGTCTGAGTGGACCATGTTCTCCACCTCTATCGCCAATGCAGCGGCTCAAAGCTGTGGTCGCAAGGTCTCTGGTGCTGGTCCCGACGCCAACCTCCGAACCCGGTGGTGGACACCGGTAGTAAGGGATGCCGTCAGGCTGAAGGAGTCTTAGTAAGCCATGATGGTTTGTGGGACGAGTGAGGCAGCTGTCCAGTACCGGCAAAAGACTGGGAGGAGTTCAGAGAGTCCATGGAGCATGGCTATCGGTCGACCTCAAAGATTCTGGCAAACCGTCCGGCGCCTCAGGAGGGGGAAGCAGTTCTTGTGTACGGTGCGGGTGGAGAGCTGCTGACCTCGGCTGAGGACATTGTCGCGTGGTGGAAGGAATACTTCGAGGTTCTCCTCAATCCCCCCGTCACATTATCTGTCCCGGAGGCAGAGGCTGAGGATGTTTGGGCGGATACTTCCATATCCCTCAGCAGAGGACCGGAGCCAGAGCTGTGTTTGTATCGTCGGCAGTAAGTCAGACCTGTTCCTTGTGCATGTTGGTCTCTGCCAAGGCTGCCCTTTGTCACCGGTTCTGTTCACTGTCTTTATGGACTGAATTTCTAGGCGCAGCCAGGGGCCGGAGGGGGTCCGGTTCGGAGACAACAGGTTTTCATCCCTGTTGTTTGCGAACGATGTTGTCCTGTTGGTTCCAACAAACCGTCACCATTGACTCTGCGTTGATGCCTCCTAGGGAAGTGTCCCAGGTATGTCCCACCGGAAGGAGGGCCCCAGGGAAGACCCAGGACACGCTGTAGGGACTATGTCTCTCAGCTGGCCTGGGAATGACTTGGGCTTCCCCTGGACGAGCTGGAGGAAGTGTGTGTGGAAAGGGAAGTCTGGGCGTCTCTGCTTAGACTGCTGCCCCTGCGACCCGGCAACGGATGAAGCGGAAGAAAATGGATGGATGGATGGATGGACACCAGGTCACACATCACTTTTATACTAAGCTCTACATCAGCTTCTTTATGGAAAGTTTGTTTTTACATCTGGATATTTTTATTGTATTTCAAATTTCAAATATATTTGCCAAACCTTGTAGCACAAAACTTGGATACTACTTCAGACATTATCCTGGTCCGAACAGGCCCAGACGTGAAAATAATTATGCAAAATCACTCTTTGAAACAATGCCCAGAGGAAAACTAGATTCAATGGAAGAAATTTTTTTATAAGAATACCTGGTTTAAGACGAGCCTTGGCATTTAAAAATGTATTTAACTTTCTACACAACCGTATAACACACAAAAAGACTGCATTGTTACTCTGAAAGTTAGTGAAGTGAATACTGCCGACTATCAGCTGTGTTTGTGGCTGCAGACGCTATGCAGGCTAATGCATTTCTTTTGTTCCTTTGTAGGTATTTTCCTAAAAACTCGTTGGAGAAATATATTATAGCAAAATAGAGCCTCCATTAGTTCTCCACTTGATACAAGCAGTTGTCACATCTGTACACGCTACATTGTTCTCAATGGGGAGATTTGTCCCCATTCCTGTCCCTCTCAGTGGACACTTTCGCGCCACTGCGTGATGTTAGCTGCAGCCCAGCAATATCATTATATAAACACCAGGATCACAGAGCCCTAAACCACAGATGTAAGCCCATAATGGTGTGTGACACGTACGGTACGGTATACCTTTACATCTCAATAGGAGCCAGAGAGAGTTGGAGCCAATGCCATGAGCACTTCCCTATTGGGCTTCATTGCGCTAGCTGATTAGCATTGTCCATGTACATACATCTACGGTTGGTAAACTCTGGATTATAGTCATTATTAAATCATTTTGTGCGTTTGTTGTGACAGATCCAGTTCCTGAACATCCAGCTAGACCGTCACTGTTTGAAGATGTCCAAAGTGGCCGAGAGGTCAGACTCGCACACAATCCCTTTAAATAAACCAGGCGAAAGTTATATGTATTTGTGTCTCTGCAGTCTGATTGGCTACACTGAGCAATATTTGGAGTATGACCCCTTCATAGTGACCCCTGACCCCTCCAACCCCTGGACCAGCGACGAGCCATCCTACTGGGACCTGGAAGCAAGGTAGGTATGCATGCATGCATGCACATACACACATACATACAGACACACACACATGCACACATGCACGCATGCACGGCGACAGACAAGTTGTTCTGGCATACACACACTGAAACACGCTTGTCCAGATCCTCAGAATGATCGGCTCTAACGTGTGTGTTTCGCAGTAAGGAGCCCAGCCAGCAGAGGGTGAAGAAGTGGGGCTTCTCTCTGGAGGAAGCCCTCAAGGACCCACTGGGGCAGGACCTCTTTCTGCGCTTCCTGGAGTCAGAGTTTAGCTCTGAGAATCTGCGGTAAGAAGCTGTGAATAAATCATGGGCATGTTCTTACAGCTGAAATATTCAGATGGTGTTTCCTCCTGTGGCTGTGCACTCGAGGAAAAGTCTACAGCAGGACACTTGGAGAAATGGGCCGGAACTGTTTGCTCAAGCTGCTGTGCCCAAATGCCTCAATCAATTGTGCCAGTGCCAAAACATCAAAGTCAGAGTACACTCAATAACTATCGCCCCGTGTCGCTTTCACCGCTTGTGATGAAGTTCTTTGAGTGGCTCATCCAGGCCTGGAGCCTCACCAGTTTGCCTAGTTTTTCCTCAATGACAGGCCACTGTACATTTGATTGGACAATCACAGTCCTTTGTCCAAATCAACACCGGAGTCTCACAGGGTTGTGTTTTAAGCCCCTTTCTTTACTCCCCCTTCACTCATGACTGCAGACCAGTGTCCCCCTCTAATTCCATCATCAAGTTTGAAGACAACACCACACTGATAGGCCTCATCCACGACAACGATGAAACAGCCTATAGAGAGATCATCTAACAACTGTCCACCTGGTGTGCTTATAAGAACTTGCACCTCAACACCAGCAAAACCAAAGAACTTTTAGTGGACGTCAGTAGGAGTACAGAAGAGTAGGTGAAAGCAGCCCAGTGCATCATTCACTGCTCTTGTAAGCATCTCGTAACATCGTGAAAGACTCCTCATCCTGCACACAGACGCTTTAGCTTTTTGCCCTCTGATTGCCGCTACAGGAGCCTCTGGGCCAGGACCAGAAGGCTAGAGACAGTTTTTTAGATGTTTTTTTTAACTAAGAGCAATCACACTCCTGAACTCTCATCCTGTTAAAGACCATTAGATGCACTTTAATGTAGTGTAATATAATGAATGTAGACTAGCAAGAGCAGCTTTGTACATTCCCACATTTATATTTATCTGTGTTGTGAATATAATCCTATACTTAGCGTAATATACTACTGGTTAGCTGCTAAACTGCATTTTGTTGCATTGTTCTGACTTTGTAATGACAATAAAGTTGAATCTATCCATGATCTGTCAATCAGCTGCCACCCAATTCACAGAGCACCAGCCCCTCACGGATTCTCCTGCAGGTGGTGAGTCCACAGGAGGATGGCTGCTACGTCGATGAGAGCATAGTCTTGATCTTTCAGAGGGAAATAAAAACTATGACATCACACTCACTTAACTTGAACCAAAAGTTTTGCCCATAAATTACTTTTGGTGATTTCGCAGGTGACAATAGCCTCTTTACACTCATATGTCTGTGTTTGCATCTCCCTATGGTGGCAGCATAGGGAGGTGCAGGGAGCTCCGACTAAAGTCACTTCTCCCGTTGGTGGCAGAGTAGGGGGTTACAGAAGGCTACGTCATGTTGTTAGATTGGGAAATAATTAGCCTGGCCTTAGCCATCCGTACACTCCGTTCAGCCATCATTTCACTGCATGTAACGTCTGGGTCTAGTCCCTATGTTAGCGATTACAATCAGAGACCATTCAGAGAGCGCGGAAGGCAGGTGTTGTAGTTAATTGTGGGTGATGTCAAGAGTTTGCGTCGAACAGGCAGGTTGTAGTTTGGTAATGGCAAAAAATGCGATAGAACCAGACCGGATTACTTTACTATCAAGAAATTGAAGCCGGAGCAAGGGTAATGTTTAGCAAATGTAATTGCTGGAAAAATTGTGGCGCTACTCCTCACGGGCTCCGTTAGCGGCAAAGGAGATGGCTAGGCTAAATGCTAAATGCTAACAGACCTGGGCGCATACATACGTACATACATACGTCACGGTAAACTCTGATCCAATGGGTTTTAATCTGCAAAAGGAGTTAACCCCTCCCACCTGTAAACGGAGCTCAATGGAGCACCACCAGACCTTAGTACGAAATGTAATTTGTACTATGGTGTGGTACGACCAGGCTAGGAAAAAATTTCTTCAGTAGAAAATATGTATCCTCACCTGGCCTAGAGGAACCCCAATAAGTTTTTAATGTTCTTGCACCTGTTGTGTGCAGCTTCTGGCTGGCCGTGCAGGACCTGAAACGCCGGCCGCAGCAGGACGTGGCTCAGCGCGCTCAGGACATCTGGGCAGAGTTCTTGGCAGAAGGAGCTCCCTCCCCCATCAACCTGGACTCCCACAGCTACGAGAGGACCAGTCACAACCTCCAAGACCCGGGCCGGTACAGCTACGCAGAGGCCCAGGTGAGGGACGAGGTTGTTGGTGGAAACAAGGGATTCAAATTAGTGTAGAACGGCGCACAAACGGCTCCTTTCATCACCTTAGTCTCAGAGTTAAGATGTGGGAGAAGACTCTAGAACAAATCATTGCTTCTGCATAAAAATAGTTTTATTCTCAGAGAAAAGCTACCGATGGATTATGGGGAATCCCACAGCGTCAGGACATAGGAGGGTCCTTTTGTAATGACGCAGATGCTCCTTTGATGTTGGCCCTGATCAGAGTCTTCATGAAGGACTTTAGAAGTTACTGGATCTCTCAAACGATTCAAATTCTTATGTACCAAAGGAGGGCCCAACAGAAAAAGGTTGGGAAGTTTGCGGGCCAAGGAATGCACAGTTTTGATGACTGCAGATCTCCTCGGAGCGATAGTTTGGAAGTGGCTGTTTCACTGCTTTAGAATGTGGCTTTGTTCAGATTGAAAGACCATCTCAAACATACAAATATCCAACATTTATATTTTGATAGGTCCTTGAAAAACAATTTCCCATACAATCAGTCAGCTTAACATCAGTAGCCCCTCCCTCTCATTTACAACTGTTGTTGTGGCTCTGCTGCAGGACCACATCTACCACCTGATGAAGAGCGACAGCTACAGCCGCTTCCTGCGCTCCAATGTGTATCAGGACCTGCTAAACACCCGCCGAAAGGTCAGGGGCCTCACTCTCCACAGATGACATGAGATCCTCCATCAGAGAGTCATTGGTCATTGCTTGTTTTTCAGCTTTCGACCGATCAGGGCAGACGGACATCTCTGGAGAAGTTCACTCGCAGCATGGTACGACTTTAAACACTGTGTGGACTCAGTAAGACCAGTTTAGTGACCCCTCAACACTTTCAAACTTGGCAACTTTGATAGTAATGTGTTAAAATGACTGCTCTCAGATTATACTGCATTTTAAAACCAGTTTTCTCAAGAAGAAAACCATGCCATTTAATTTAGCATTTGGTATAGTTCAGACAAATATTCCAGACAGTATTCCACACCCAGGGGGAGCTGTGATGAGGGATTAGTATGGGTTGGGTGGGGGATTAGTGGTGAGGCGGCGAGGGTGAGTTAGCTTGTGTCTTCTGTAATAGATTAGCCATTCTGTTTGTGTTGCCTGTCTCTGTACTGTTGTATAGAGAACAGCTCATTCCAGTTTGTGCGTTTGGTTTTTGGAGGATCTTTGCGTGCATGCTCTTCAGTATCTCCTGCTGCCTGGCCCCCGAGGAGGTCTGCCCGGAAACAAGTTGTTTGTGGCACAAACAATGATTTCAGCTGTGAAGAAAACTGCAAATTAGATGAAAACATGTGGTGAACAAACACCTGTAAACCCTTTTGAACATCTCACTTGTCTGATGAGACCAAAGACAGTGTTTTAATTTGGGTTCAAAAAAGATGAGAGGATAAGACTTGAACCTGATGAAGACCCTGTTTAGTTATCTGCAGGAGGGCCCCTTGAATGTCTTTATCTTCACTGTTATGTAGACATTCTATTGTGTCATATTCATCCTTGTATCAGATCAAACCATGTACAAATACAATACTTAGATACGACTTTAAGCTTAGAAATCTGTGATAAAAATTGATCTGGGCAAGTGATAAACCATGGTACTTTGTGCTGAGCTCTGTTCTGTTCATTCCACCTGCGTTCACATGTTAAAACAGGTTTGAAATGACTGTGTAATGATTGTATAACTCTCCTCTTTTCAGCTGTATGTACGACGCCTTTCTAAATCCTGAAATGCCAAAGTGAAGGTATTCACGATTATCTCAAAGGGACCACATTCACACAAACGCACGGTGTTGGTAGATAGATGACATGAGGCTCAAAGGCCCCATGATCTTAAACATCACACACTTTAAATGCAGTAATTTCCATGTTTTTTCAGGGCAAGTCTCTGACAGGGAAGCGGATCACCGGCCTGATGCAGTCCTCTTGACATCCTCTCTGCTTCGACTTGAACTGTGGCTTTGTTAGCTGGGACAACGTGGCTTATAGCAACAATGGAATAAACTCTAACCGTAACGGGAAGAAATCAACAGGAAGAAATCCTACAGCATGGAATAAGTCTGACGAGAACTGAGCGGCTATTAGGGTATTTAAAAGCCGCTTGCAGTTTTAGTTCAATGCTACTTACTTAGTTGTAATGCTGAATGATGTCAACAATGAGACTCAGATCAACACTGTAGCTGTTTATAATTCCTTTTGCTCTAGTTGTAAAGTTTTCTATTCACTTTAGGGTTTCCAAAAAGCTGCCAATGTATCAAGCACACACATCTAAAGGATTATATTTAAGATGGAGGTTAGTGAGAGGGTGCATGAAATGAACGGGTTGTGACACTCTTGACCTGCTGGATCAATGTTGGGTTTTGCTGCCAAATGTCAAATTACTGTCAAAATGGTGTAAAATAAAGTCAACAATGACTATAAATATTCGGTAAATGTTGAAATATACTAACCAAACATACGTTTGGTTAGTATATTTAGAGCCAGAGTGTGGTTGAGCTGCTGTCATAATATTCTGGTTTATCTTCATTACATTCCACTGTGATGGTCACCCTTCTCAATCATGTGTCAAGGAATGTAGGAATAAAAGGTGGACAAATAACAGGTCTCTTTCAAGTCATTTCAAATCAGTAAAGAGGAGAGCAGCACAACAGTCAAAATTGGTACTGAAGTTAGCACTGCCCTCTGGTGGTGAGGAGAGCTACGCACAAGTAACCTGCATCAGTGATGGGAAGCCAGAGCTTGAAACCCCACAAAGACTATAAAACCCATATACCAAGTTTATAGCTCTAAAAACAGTTCTATAATTAGTTCTACCATGTCTATCTCTAGATTTTACATGCATCTTTTGTCACTTCAGGTCAGCCAATCACCTCAGTACAGCTAATAGATAACATTTGTTTTAAGATGAAGACTGCATGTTGTGATCTGATTTGTCCACAAAATGTTACTATCCTTTATGTGAGACAGTTACTTGGGATTTTATACCCTGTACTAAAACTGAACTTTATATGGTGTTAATAATTACACACACTCAACCCTTATGTCATAACTGTTTATTATCACTGCACAAGAACAAGTCTGAAATCATCTTCGTAAACCAGTGGTTCTATACAAGTACCACTGTCTATTTTAAACTTACATAGTGGGGCTGAACTGGATCTATCGTAGTTCTAGTTGGATTCAATATATTCAGGCACTTCATGAGAATCCTTACAGTATGACCAAAAGGTTCCAATTCCAAGTTCCAGAGATTGGGAAACAGACATTATATTTATTATTCTGTTCCCATGTAAGCAAACATGCAAAATATACCAGCACAGGCTTCACATGTACAGAGGGACTGGGCACAATAAGGTCTTTCCAGTCTGTGAGGTGGATATTGTGGAGGTGGAAGTCGCCCTTTGTCAGAGTCCCAGACGGTTGGGAGCGCTGTTCTGGAGGAAGTCGTGCTGTAGTTTGGATGGTGTTACTGTGTGGCTGCAGGAGACGGACAGGACATGGGCTGCACTCCGCTCACCTCCAGAGCTTTGTTGAACTGCACCGCTAACGTCTTGGAGGCTTTAGTGATCCGCAAGTCCTTCATGCAGCCTTTGAATGAGCGTCTGCTGGACAGTGCCGCCTGGTGCACGCCGGCTGAAACACAACATAAGCGTTCATTTCGGCAAGATCTCCCACAGTGGGAGATGATACTGCACTGTGCCTACTACTGCTATTTTACTATAATTAGACAACATTAATGTATACTTGTAGTCCCCCATTACTACAAAGATAAATATCCCATCAGAGAAGTTCAGACTGTACGTTGAATAGGAAAACCCCTTGATATAAATTGGATGTAAAACGTCCTCAAAGGGCTGTGCAGATTTTAGTTCCAACCAAGCAAGAGCACACATGTGAATATTAAAAATAGCACAGCTCTATATACTTTATATTTACTTCTCTTGTGTTGTGTGCTTGTCATTCCTGCACTGAATACTAGAATTTCCTCACTGTGGGACAAATTCAGGATCTCCTAATCTTAAACATGAGTAGAGTCTGAACTGGCAGACATGGGTGGTGTGTGATGTGAGGAAAACCTGCAGTCACACAGGCCCTTTCTGAAACCAGTTTGGACCATTTCCACAATGGCTTGTGGCCATACCGGCATGTTAAAGCCAGCCTGTCAGAAGCTAAGCAGGGCAGGACCTCTGGGAACACCAGGTGCCACAGTGGGGCAGCTACACCTGTAAAGTGCCAAACTGCCGTTGTGTCCCTAGGCAAGACACTTTACCTCCATTGCCTAGAATGTGTCTGGTCTGTGCATGAAGGGTTGGTGGTTGGAGGGGCCAATGGCACATACTGATTGTCTCGCTTCTGTCTATGTGCCCTAAGGGAGCTGTAGCTACAATAGTAGTTTTTCACCACCATGTATGGAGTGAAAGAATAATATGATGTGAAATGTCTGGGTGTCCAAAAAACACTATTAAAACCAATGCATTATTTTTGTTTGTGTAAGCTCACAGTCGTACAAGGATAAGTCAAAGCACCCATCATCTATACTTAACAGGTTTTCCCAACGTTCAATGTCTATTAAGATGTATTTATGAGTTAGCCTCAGGATTAGGGTGTGGCTCACCACACCCATAGGTTATAAATAAACGCGCGGTCTGATAATTCATTCCCTTGAAAAAGTTCTTTGGATTAAGAAACGAACGTCGAGAAAAACCTAAGAAGTACAGATGAGTGAGAAACCTTCCTTTGCTTCAATACATTATTATTATAAAGTATGACTAGCTGATTTGGTGTCAAACTAGAACAAACCGGTTGAGAAATGGGGAAAGCAACGTCCAAACCGTTTCAAAACCCATTACCAATATTTGCAATTCATAATGGTGCTGTGTGGACTGGGTGCAGTTCTGACTGCTCTCGCATGCTGGCTTGTGTCTGGCTAGCAAACTATAAGCTGTTAGTGCCACTATTCCGCTGCTTGTTGCCTGTAGCCCAGAGACTGTCAGTCGGTGCTGCGAGTTTCTCCGGAGACTGCACAAGCTGCAATTACTACGACTGATGAGTGTTTATTTTTTTGTACTATTTGATTGTTTTTATTTACCACCAAGATATTTTGATACCTTATACCACTTAACATTGCTTTAAGTGGCTGTGAATAACTAGTTATACTGCAGGTCATCTGGACAAAAGCACACAAAGGGCGAAGTTGTCATTCTATTTTACATGGTTTAGATGTCCATGGAGAAGACGGCAGTAGGCAGCCAATGTTACCACAGCTCCAAACAATTGTCTTCTGGTCTCTCTTCCATTCACAATACACTTTTATTGAAGGTAACATGTCTCTGCTCAACACAACCTGCTTTATTTGTGTTCAATAGCTACACACGTGTGGTGGTGCTCTGGTGGGTTACTGGTAATAATAATGCATTGGTTTTATATAGCGCTTTTTTGGACACTCAAAGACGCTTTACATGTCCTTATTCATTCACTCCAAACACGGTGGTGATAAACTACTACTGTAGCCACAGCTGCCCTGGGGCATACTGACAGAAGCGTTGGCGTCTCTGCTCAACAAGCCTGTTATATTGGCTATTTGCTTACGCATATTCAGTTTTTGTGGGTTACTAGTGGCGTCTCTGCTCGACCTAACTCTACCGGGAGTGTTCTTAACAGCAATTTTCACCTGCACGTTCGCTTGCGACAGTAGCTCAGTTGGTAGAGCATTGGCCTTAAGGCCTGACCTACAACAATTGCTCCCACTATTGTCTGCTGTCGTTGTGTCCTTGGGCAAGACACTTTGCCCACGTTGCCTGAAGCTCCTGCTGAAACACCAAGGCTGGGCCACCACTGATGTAGCAGCCATCTTCCCGTGGACTCACCACCTGTAGGAGTATCAGCGATACTGGTGCTGTGAAGATTAGGTGGCAGCTCTGATTGTCACCCCCCGACCCAAAAATTGACTAATAAAGGGGTAGAAAATGAATGAATGAATGTTTGCTTACTAGGATGCTGGAACCAATGAGCTGCCAATCCTGTTTAGCACTGAGCTGGATACGTAGTATTATAGTCACAATCTCCCGCATAGTTTGCCTCCTCGGCAGCAGGAAGAAGGATTAACAGATAGTCAAGTATGTCACTCGCTAAAGGCTAAGAAATACATTTATATATTTATAAATATATGTAAAATAAATGTGTATATACAGTGGGGGGAGTATTTAGTCAGCCACCAGTTGTGCAAGTTCTACCACTTAAAAAGAAGAGGGAGGCCTGTAATTTGATTTGATGTAATAGCCACATCAAATCAATAACATCAGCAGCTTTTTACCATCTAAAAAACATTGCCAGGATCAAAAACATAGTGTCTAAAGCAGACTTGGAGATTCTTATCCATGCATTTGTCTCCAGTAGGTTAGACTACTGCAATGGCCTGCTCACAGGTCTGTCCAAACAGGTTGTAAAACAGCTGCAGTACATTCAAAATGCAGCAGCTCGAGTCCTGACTAGAACCAGGAAGTACGACCACATTTGTCCGGTCCTCAGGTCTCTGCACTGGCTTCCTGTGGCTCAGAGAATAGACTTTAAAACAGCTCTGCTTGTGTACAAGTCTCTCCATGGCCTCGCACCAAAATATATTAGTGACATGTTAGTACCATACGAACCAGCCCGGACACTGAGGAGCACAGGGACTGGACTCCTGTTAGTGCCCAGAGTCAGAACTAAACATGGGGAGGCTGCTTTTCAGATTCATGCTGATAACATCTGGAACAGTCTTCCTGAAGATGTGAGACAGGCCTCCTCGCTGACAATGTTTAAAACCAGGTTAAAGACAGTTCTGTATAGCTATGCATACAACTTTCTTTTTAATGTACTGTGAATATTTATGATTTTAATGCTTTCTTATTTTGTTCAGCACTTTGAATTGCCTTGTGTATGAATTGTGCTATATAAAAAAACTTGCCTTGCCTTGCCTAATTTTATACCTCAACTATGAGAGACAGAAAGAAAAATGTTAAAGAATTTATGAGCAAATTATGGTGGAAAATAAGAATTTGGTCAACAACAAAAGTTTATCTCAGTGATTTGTTTTGTACCCTCTGTTGAAAATGAGAGCTCAAAAGTTTTCTGTAAGTCTTCACAAGGTTGTCACACACTGTTGCTGGTATTATGTTTTGGGTCTGTTCCTGGGCAACACAGACTTTCAACTGCCTCGAAAGATTTTCTATGGGGTTGAAATCTGGAGACTTGTTGGGCCACTCCAGGACCTTGAAATGCTTCTTATGACGCCTGGAAAGCTCTTCACCATGCATGGTGGATTTAATCCCAAATCCAGCACCCTGAGACTGTACGAAAGCCATAAAGATGGAGGCCGAGGACTAGTGAGTGTGAGAGCCACTGTCCAGGACGAAACATCCAAACTCGATAACTACATCATGGAGAAGGCCCAAACGGATGACTTACTCAGTGAATGTCTCAGACAGTGGTGAGATGAGGAGATGCTAGAGGAGAGCCCATCATGGGAGTACAGGCCCCTGCACGGTATGTACCTCCAGAGCATAGCAGAAGTGGCTGATCTCAGTCCAACCAATGGCTAGAAAGGGCTTGTCTACAGGACAGCACAGAGGCATCCATCATGGCTGCACAGGAGCAGGCCCTGAGCACCAGAAAGATTGAGGCCCAGATATGCCACACCAGACAAGACCAAAGGTGTCTGTTGTGCAAAGGAGGACCTGAGACAATCCAACACGTAACTGCAGGGGGCAAGATGCTGGCAGGGAAGGCCTACATGGAACGCCATAACCAATTGGCTGGCATAGTGTACAGAAACATCCGTGCAGAGTATGGGCTGGAAACCCCAAGGTCTAAATGGAGGTCTCCTCCAAAGGTGGTGGAGAATGAGCGTGCAAAGATCCTGTGGGACTTCCAGATACAGACCGACCAAATGGTAAATGCGAACCAACCTGACATTGTGGTGGCAATTCCAGAAGATGGTAACATCAGGAAAAAAGAACATGAACAGCTTGAGGAAATACCATGGGCTCAGAGAGGAGCTGGAGAGGGCCCAGATGTTATAGGTGACAGTAGTGCTCGTGGTGATCGGTGCACTCGGGGAAGTGACCCCGAAGCTGGAGGAGTGTTTACAGCCGATCCCTGGAACAACCTTGGTCCAGAAATGTGCAGTGCTAGGAACAGCAAAGATTCCTGCGCAGAACCCTCAAGCTCCCAGGCCTCTGGTAGAGGACCTGGGCTTAGAGAGGGATAACCCGCCCGCGGAGGGCGAAAGGTGTGAGTATTTATACATATACATAAATATATGTATATTGTATATTTATACAAGACATAAAACACACATATGCATGCATTTGTTTGCAAATTAAATCTATTTTTTAAATAAACAATTCATGTATATATTTATTGAAATATTCATTATTTTGGCAGTTTTGTCTGAAGTATTGAAATTGATGTTGTTCAGGCAATGACCTTCAGTTGCTAGAGCGGGAGATAAAGAGTAAGAGAAGATTAAATGTTTAATACAAACAAATCATCGCTACATTTAAAGAAAACAATGATATTTGGTAATGGTCAAAGTAAATTGCAAATAGTGATCATAGGCATTAAAAATCCACAGTGTCGCTCCCATCAGGGCGGTAGGAAAATGGCGCGTCAGCGCCACCTCCTTTGCGCGGTGCGGCGAGGGCCGTTAGATGCCGCTTGCGGCTTTAATTTTGTGTTGTTCCCCCTTGTTCGATTGTTTTATTTTGTGAATTTATTTTATTTTATTTACATTATTACTAAAATGGGATTTAGTAATTAGGGATTACATAACAAATGACGATGATAACATTTTGCAATGTTCTAAATAAAAAATCTAAATATCTATATAAAAAATAAAAAAAAGATTGTCAGAACTATGTCTCTTTGTGTGTGCGATTTTGTCCAGGTTCGACTGTAGTTTTAAATCAGCATTAACACACACACTCTCCAAACACTGTTTACACTGTACTCTTCAGGCTCTGGGCCCTGATGTTCCAGTGAAGGAGGCAGCCGACGGCGCCGTAGTGAAGAGCAACACACTGCTGAACCAGGCCAAGCAGCTGCAGCAGGATGTACAAGGTGAACACACAATCAAATATGTGTGTATATGAATACTGTATGCGTGGTATACGTATGTGTGTGTACCAGTGGGGGCGGGTCCCGGCTCAAAAGTGGCCAAAATGACGTGCGCTGAAATGCTTGCAATACCACCCCGGGTCGATGGGGGTGGACCCGGAATAAGAATTAGCGGTAACGCTTTATATTAAGGTGTGCTTGTTAAGTATTAATAAGGTATTAATAGACATTAGCAACATGCTTATAGATTGCTTATATGTACTTATAAACATATTAATAAGCTGCTCATTTCACTATTGTTAAATTGTTAATGTTCTTGTTAAATGCTTTTAAGCATTTAATAAGTAATTAGTAAGATACTTATTAAAGGAGGAATATGTTTATAAATATATGAATAAGCTGCTTATTAAACTATAATCGATACCATGTTAATAGGCCACTAACAATATGCCTATAAAGATATTAATACGCTGCTTATTAATAGGCAATAGTGGTAATAGGCCACTAAAAATATGCGTTAATAAACTGCTTATTACACTATTTTGCAGTACCTTAATCTAAAGCGAGGAGCATTTTTGTTAATGCAGAAAAAAACACAACAATGATCTAAGATGTTTTTATTTATTCAAACAGCAACAATTAAAGTCTAAATGAAAAAATATATCAAAATTTAGTTTGTGCCAAAAGTTTGTTAGCAACTTAAGTAAGTAAGTAAGTAAGCTTTATTTATATACCGCCTTTCACAGACCAGAGTCACAAAGCGGTTTACAATTGTTATTTTATGGGCACTTGTCCTCTCACTCCACACAGAGATGGGAGCGGGGTCGCCGAACAGGAGGCGCATGCCAGACCTATTGTACATATTTTTAGTGGTAGGGGAAACCGGAGTACCCGGAGGAAACCTACGCAGACACGGGGAGAACATGCAAACTCCACTCAGAAAGGCCCTGGTCCGGCCGGGATTCGAACCCAGGACCTTCTTGCTGAGAGGCGAGAGTGCTATCCACTCAGCCACCGTGCCGCCCTTCAAGGAGCCATGATGAACCCACTCATGCTCCGACCTGCTTGAATTTGGCTTTGGCAAAACAGTGAATCAGCTGACTTCACGAGCCTGAGAGATTAGCGGACAGGGGTGGGAACCTAAGGGTACCTCACGATACGATACGATACACGATACAAAGCTCACGATAATGATTACAATAACGATTGTATCACGATATGACGATTATTGATATATTGGTCAGAAATATACAATATGCCAATTTATGGCATAAATAAAATAAAAAATACTCTTTATTTCATGATAAATAGAATGGAGATGCGTAATGTAGCCATATATTAAGTATTGATACCAATAAAAACGAAAAAAAAGGAGGAAAAAAAACATTTATTTTTTTTTTTTTTCAAAATTGATATTGATACTTGGCAAATGCATATCGATAATCGAATCGCGGGAGAAAGTATCGTCACACCCCTATTAGCGGAACTCGCCAATTTTTGGGCATCGTCTGGTCCTCCCGGTTCTGCGCAGTTGACGAGCTCCCATGATGCTTTGCGCCAAATACGCGTGCGTGGCTGTCATGCACGTGCACATAGGCGCCACGCTCTGACCAATCAGAGCGAGAGTTAGAGCGGGAGTAAGAGCCAGACGAGTAGAGTTTGTGGCAGTAAAATGTGGATTTAAAGAAAACTGAAGGATTTAAGAAGAAAAAAAGTTCAGGATGACAAGGGACACTAAAAGCCCCACAAAATCCCACCTTTATGAAAGCTGTAGGTTCTCTGTCAGCTGAGGTCGAGCTGTTTTAGTTTACATTGAGTTCTATGGGGACAATTTCTGGGTAGCCCACATGAATTTAGTTTGCAGTACCACGACAATCTCCCGAGCTACAAGCTAGTAATACCCTATCCAGTTATTATAATAGATCCATGTATACAACGCACCTGTGACACAACCATGGAACTATAATAATAACTGGATAGTGTATTCCTAGCTTATAGCTGTCCCACCCATGGGCACAGGGGGCGCTGTGGTACTGCAGACTAGAGCCCTGCACGGGCCTATTATCTGGGCCCGAGCCCGGCCCTGGCCCGAGGGGGTGGCGCCCCAGCCCGGCCCGGCCCGATATGGTTTCTCAATTTTCAGGCCCGAAACCCGCATCAAGCCCGCCTTTTTTTTTTTTTTGTAACCTCCCATAACAACGTTTTAGCGTAGTATATAGTGCCGCGCACTGATATGAACGCAGACTTAGCTAGAGGGCGGAGTTATACATGGTAGTGATGTGTTGCAATGAGTTCTGTGTGTGCGGAGTGGTGCAGAGTGAACATCTGTATGATGCCCAGATGCTGCAACACACTTGTAAGTAACGCTATGTGCCGTCAATGACAACACTACACAGAACAACAAACACTACAGCGTGATAGAACGCTATATTCAGTGGGTGCGTTCGTAAATGTATTCTGCCGCTCTGAAAATGAAGAGCCCGAGCCCGGCCCGTGTCCGAGGTCATTATGCGGTCATCGGCCCGAAGCCCGGCCCTCGGGCTGTCGGGCCGTCGGGGCCCTCGGGCCAAGGGCTCAAGTGCAGGGCTCTACTGCAGACTAAATTCACGAGGGCTACCCAGAAAAAGTCCCATAGAACTCAATGTAAATTAAAACAGCTCGACCTCAGCTGACAGAGAACCTGACAGAGAACCCACAGCTTTCATAAAGTTCGGATTTTCTGGGGATTTTAGTGTCCCTTGTCATCCTTAACTTTTTTTCTTCTTAAATCCTTCAGTTTTCTTTAAAGTGGTTCTCACCCCTGCTCCTCGGAGCTTACGTCACTCACATTTCCTGTTCAAATCTTCCTCTAAATGGGCGTAGCCTGGAGGACTAAAGGGGGCGTGAACGAGACTGGGCCGTTTATATAGCTCTGGGCGGGGGGCTGCTGATGTCAGGTCTCAGGCGCCAGATTCAAAATTCAAATGTAGTAATACAGGTTGCCAGCAGATGGCATCTCACAGAGGGTTTTAGGCAGAAAGTTTAACTTTCAACTAATTTGCACCAAAGTGACAAAATTATGACCAGGATATGTAGACAACACTATTGGACACTCATTTATACCGTTTATCAGCAAAAATTTGAGGGTGAGTTGTCCTTTAAATCCACATTTTACGGCCACAAACTCTACTCGTCTGGCTCCCGCTCTAACTCCCGCTCTAACTCTCGCTCTGATCAGCAGCTCTGATTGGTCAGAGCACGGCCCCTCTGTGCACGTGCATGACAGCCACGCAAGCGTATTTGGCGCAAAGCATCATGGGAGCTTGTCAACTGCGCAGAACCGGGAGGACCAGACGATGCCCAAAAATAGGCGAGTTTCGCAAATCTCTCAGGCTCGTGAAGTCATTTGATTCACTGTTTTGCCAAAGCCAAATTCATTAACAGAGCAGGTCGGAGCATGAGTGGGGGCATCATGGCTCCTTGAAGTTACTAACAAACTTTTGGCACAAACTTCATTTTGATATTTTTTTTCATTTAGACTTTAATTGTTGCTGTTTGAATAAATAAAAACATCTTAGATCATTGTTGTGTTTTTTTCTGCATTAACAAAAATGCTCCTCGCTTTAGATTAAGGTACTGCAAAATAGTGTAATAAGCAGTTTATTAACGCATATTTTTAGTCGCCTATTACCACTATTGCCTATTAATAAGCAGCGTATTAATATCTTTATAGGCATATTGTAAGTGGCCTATTAACATGGTATCGATAATAGTTTAATAAGCAGCTTATTCATATATTTATAAACATATTCCTCCTTTAATAAGTATCTTACTAATTACTTATTAAATGCTTAAAAGCATATAACTAGAACAACATCATTTAGAGAATAGTGAAATGAGCAGCTTATTAATATGTTTATAAGTACATATAAGCAATCTAGAAAGCATGTTGCTAATGTCTATTAATACCTTATTAATACTTAACAAGCACACCTTAATATAAAGCGTTACCGAATTAGCTAATGCTAACATATAGCATCGGCAGACCTCTCAAAAACGTCTTTACAGGATGGTCCAAAAGTTGGCTCTTGGCCCAAAGCTCCGTTCCACATGTGTGTCAATGCTGAGGGGGGTGAATTTTTTTGGACCACTCTAGTTTTCTCGCTGTGAATTTTTGAAGTCTCTTGTTCAAATGAATGGAGCTCTCGCCAGCCGACGCATGCGCAGAAGCGTTTTTTCACAATTTTCTTGTGGGCGGGACCACGACTAACTCAATTAGTTAGAACAGCAGAGATAAGCGTGACTCTTTTCATTAATATATACAGTCTATGATGTGTACACTGTTTGTGCGGTATTACGATGATATGAGTCAAAAGTGAATCCAAACCATAATGTCTTGGCCTCGCTGAGCACTGTAAGATAAGATAAGATAAGATAAGATAGATTTTATTGATCTCACACAGGAGAAATTCACATGTCACATCTGGCATGGATAGAAACACTCAAGACAACAAAATGAAGAAATGTGCAAACATGTTAAATGCAGTATGTATTATGTACAATAAAAAGTGTAAATTCAAGGTTTTTACAAAAACTCAGCTATACAGCTAGCTAAACACTCCCCCATCCATCCGCAAAGAAGCACTCCACTTGATTCTTTAGCAGCTTTTAATGAGGAAAATGTAGAGATACAGCAAATTAAACAAAACACAATGTAAAATGACTAACTTAGCACAAATAAATGTCAAACTTGTACTCTAAAGTAAAAATAATTAGGTTAGTACTCATAGATGATGCCTTTCTGCGCTTAACTGAGAGAAAAGACAACGCAAAATGGAGCTTGAGCTGACCACGTTTCAGACGTTGTAATACTATTCCCAACCACTAGGCGGCCTCCTTCGGATTTTTCAAAAATAATTATAACATTCAACATGGCATGGGCTATATACACGGGGAGGCGTGACGTCATTTCCTGTTAACGCAGACCAGCCCGTTCACTTCCTGCCTATGCTATTCTATGGCATTTAGGTGAGTTTTAGTGATGTTTTTTAGTAATTAGATTGATATATTCAGCTGTGAGACTGACCCAAAAGTGTTCGCTGTGCTTTCTCTCTGAGGTAGAGCTTTGACTGTGGTCGCTCAGAGAGATTTTTAAATTTTATAAAAACACAATGATAGCACAATCAAAGAGCACTGTTGTGTCCCAAAAATGCCCAGTATCCTCACAGTTTAATTCCCTTTTGAGCATTATTTGGGAAACTCGTGTAAACCACTGCTGAAGCCGTTTCCAGCAAACAGGAAGTGAGGTGGGGTTGTAGCTAGAACGCGGAAGTGATGCGTGCATAGAGCCCATTGTCACATAAAATTAGACATCCATTAGACATTATTCCATTATTTTCACTGTAAGAGATAAATATGTAAATATTAAATTCAACTCGAGAGTTTAAAAAAAAATCTGTATTTTAGTGTTTCCACTGTAGTGTTTAAACCATAGTGGTTCTATCCAGTCCGAGTCTGTACTGAAGTGTTCTAACTGACAGTGTTCTAACAGTGACCAGAGTACTTTTGGAAGCCATGGTTTCCTAGGAATTTCCCAGGATACTTGTTTTTTTAGGCTTGGTTGCTTGGATACAGTACCAGACTCTCCCCATTCTCTCAAAGTGAGTCCAGTCTAAACTTGAATAATAATATTAATAATACATTTTATTTTCAGGCGACTTTTTTGACATCCAAGGTTGCCTTACAGTACAAGAAAAATACCTGAGGAAGTGGGCAGAGTCTCTGAGCTCTCCTTTCTTTGGCTGTGATGTTCCCGAACCCCACAGTCAAAGTCCAAAGAGCAAAGTCCTTTGAGGACCAGTTTGACCCCCCTGCTGCCTGACTGCTCTTGTTGTCTGTATGTGAACAGGGAATGCAAATAACATGGCCTTGCTGAAGGACAGAGTGAAAGCCGCCAAAGACAAAACCAAAGATCTTGCCAAGGGCATCGACATCACCATGGCAACGCTCCACGCCATCCCCAATGGTAGGAACCTCACCACCTTAGGGCCTGAATGCAGGGACCAGCGAAATCCCCTAAAAAGGCAGTGATCAGCAATTTACAGTACATGGGGATGAATGTGCGACTTAATACCCATATCTGATTTGGTGGTGCTCTACCCAAGGGCACAACACCTGTGTGCTTCTAGATGAATACAAACGCATGTACAGTGGTGGAATAAAAGTTTATTTAGATCGCATAGTTCACACAAAAGAAGGCCACTTAAAGTGCCTACAGCACTAGCAAAGAAACAATAAAATCAAAGTGTATTAAAAATAGTGATGCACTTTATGCATAGATACAATCCATGCATTGTATCTATGCATAAATCTGAAATGTTTCCTCCCCATGTTAAGTCCTGACTCTGGGCACCAGTAGGAGGCCAGTCCCTGTGCTCCTCAGAGTCAGTGTTGGTTCAAATGGCAGTAACATGTTATAGATGTACAGTACTTTTGTGCGAGGCCATGGAGAGACTTATACATAAACAGATCTGCGTTGACGTCTCGTCTGAGTCACAGGAAGCCACTGCAGAGATCTGAGAACTGGATTAATGTAAGAGGACTTCAGGACAGAGCCTTTAGACCAGGACTAATGTGATTGGACCTCAAGGCAGAGATCTGAGACAAGGACTAATGTGAGAGGACTTCAGGACAGAGACCTGAGATCAGGACTAATGATACTTCCTGGTTTCTGTCATTTGATTTATGTTGCACATTTTATTCAACACTGAAATGCAACTGTGTACATGCTCCTTTTTGGTTATCATACGTACACAAATACAAAACCACAAAAATGCTTTTGCTATACAAATGATCATGATATTAGGTCCAAATGAAACCATTTTCAATGCACTCACATCATCAGCAAATAGGTGGTAGATTCAGCAGGAGTGTAGGAGGAGGTACATTTAGATAAAAACAGAAAATGAAAACCCCCTCTCTGCTGAAGAATAAGGAAAACAGTTTACTCCTCCTGGTCACAGCCCTATTGTTCACTGGTCCCGTACAGATACAGCAGCGAGAGTGGCCACGACCAAAGCCGTGGCTGCAGAAGCCAACGCCACAGCACTGGACGTGCTGGAGCGGCTGGGAAACTTGAACCTTCAGATCCAGGGCCTGCAGAAAAACTATGGCCACCTGGAAGAGACTGTGAACGCAGCCAACCAACTGATCCAGGACCCAGAGAAAAACAGTAAATACACCTCTTTATAATCTCCAACCAGTGAAGACATAGAGATTTAATCAGCTGTAATGTATGACAGTAGTTCTAGTGGGTCTCAGATTCAGTGTAAATCTTCCTGCGACTAAATACATTGATGAATTGATTTATTTATTTTTTTAACCAACATGTAACATATTTCTCTCTCTCTTCTTTCCCCAAATCCCTGCAGCAATCAGTATGTATACAACAATCAACTCCACAATCACTGCAGCTTTCTGGTGGTGCACCAACCATAATTAAGGGGTTGGTTTAGTGTCATTGGTCAAAAAGAAACAGCAACAATGTCCAATGCGTGTCATCAATCTGCTGCTCCCCACAGACGGGTGATTTTCAAAACATGCAAATATTGATAATTAGAGGTAATTATACGGGCCGCATTGGCATGTTAAACATCATTCTATTGCCAACCACATAAAGTAGTATATTCTAAACATTGTACAAGAACACTTTAAATATTAATAACCACTCCATCCGTCTGCAATAAGAAACTTTTTCTTATTTTTTTGGTAACTATTTGGTTCAATTCAAGAATGTCTATTTGTCTAGTTCAATAAAGAATGGCTCATTTGGTCAAATTACCTTCATAACAAAAAACAATACACAATGCACAATGAACGTTCAAGTGCAAAATATGAGAGACACCCCTTCCATAAAGAGAATGGTATTACCAACAGCAGCCTAAAGTTGATTACGACTGGGGCTACGTTTTCTCCCATCTTTACAACAGGTGGTACTTGTGCCCTGTCTACTCTGGCGAGGGGGTACACAAAGCAAAAACGGTTGGAAACCATCAACGAACAAGGTCATTTGTATAAAAAAAATTCCAAATGGTTGGCCCCTGGTATTTACCAACGTTGCAGCTCATAAACAGTTTTAGATTTAGAATAACCCAAGTGGGGTGTAATATAAATCTAATATTAGGAGCTTGTAGGTTAGTTATTGGTGCACCCTCCTTGACTATAAGCTCTTGTGTTCTGTCACTGTTGCTCTTATCTGCATGGAAGCATGGAACAATCCTTCTCCTGTTGTAACTTCATATTTTCAAACAGTTTTTCCTTGTGATGGCAGAGTCACAGCAATTGTGCAGCTTCTTAATTCCTCTGCTCTCTCCTCACTCCTGTAATATTTAAGCTTCATGTGTTCATCCTACATGCACTCCTGTGGGCTGTCGGCTCTCTGTCAGCGGCTGTCTTGACTGAACCAAACTGTTACAAGCACAATTTCTATGATGTCGTCTGTGTGTCCTTAGTCCATGCGGCTGGGGCAAAAGTCAAAGACCTGGAGGATGAAGCTGATAGGCTGCTTGAGAAGCTGCAGCCAATCAGAATGCTCCAGGACAATTTGAGACGCAACATTTCCCAAATACAAGAACTCATCAGTCAAGCCAGGAAGCAGGCCAACTCTGTGAGCCATAAGACACCAACTGTTTAGTGATTTTTTTCATGTTTTTTTCTGATGTATATATATATTTATTTATTTATTTTTAGATCAAAGTGTCCGTTTCATCAGGTGGGGACTGCCTGCGCAGTTATCGGCCTGAAATCCGTAAAGGTCGTTACAACACCATTATCCTCCATGTGAAAACCACTACCGCAGACAACCTGCTCTTCTACCTGGGATCTGAACAATATGTATGTGGATTGTTTTAGGGCTTAAGATACAAATAACTTTAAACTATAGGCTCTATTTGCAATGAAAGAAATGGAGAAGGAGGTATGGTGAAAACTGTGTTCTTTATCATTTTGAACCAACGCATTTCGACAAAAGTCTTTGTCAGGGCAGTGAGTGTTGCAGCTGACACTGTGCTGATTTTAAGGCGTCATGGGAACACCTCGTGACCATGCAATATTTACAAAATACATACATAAAAATACAATAAAATAAAATACCAGAGGAACAAATTACGTCAGAAGTTTGTGTATCAATGACCACATACCCTCCTAACCCAAAACAGGTAAACAAAAAAGATAACTGTTATGAATAGGTGAGACTGTGATCAAACATACAGGCAGAGGCGACATGGCTTCAGCAGCAGAAGACTCTTTTTTGTTGTTATAGTCAGTCAGGTTTGTTGTACAATCTGACTGCCGAAGGAACAAAGAATCTCTTGAAACATTCCGTTCGGCAGCGTAGTGATAGGAGCCTGTTGCTTCGATTACTCCTCTGAGCGGCCATAGTGTCATGCAGAGGGTGTCTTGAGTTACCCAGGATGCCCTCATCCTTCTCTCCAGCACAACTCCCACAGAGTCCACACTTCTCCCCATCACAGAGACACATTTCCTGATCAGCCTGTCGAGCCGGTTACTGTCTCTCGAGGTCAGACTGCCGCCCCAACACGCAACCCCAAAGAACACGGCACTAGCTACCACAAACTGGTAAAAAATGTGCAACATTTGACTGCTCACATCAAAGGACCTCAGTCTACTCAGAAAGAAAAGTCTGCTCTGACCTTTCTTGTAAATGGCATTGGCCTAAGCTGACCTGTCCAGTCTGACTCCCAGATATTTATAGGAGTGAACCACTTCGATGTCCTGTCCATTTACTGTGACCGGTCGATGGGAAGAGCTCCTGTGAAAGTTGATGATCATCTCCTTAGTCCTGGACGCATTGAGAATCAGTCCATGTATAGAAGGCGTGTAAACATTCTCCATTGATAGAGATCAATTCCTCAATATTCTCCTCAATCGCTGGAACTGACCGTATAGGCTCTATTTGTTAGATAACACTATACCACACCAACCCGAAGCAGTGCATGTGATGCTTTCTGCACTGACCCGACAGATGGGAGTTGTGTAAGATCTTGTTATGATGGAAAGCGATGGTAATTAATATACTGTATGTCTTATGAGTATAGTTATGATTCTCTGTGCGTTCATCCTATTGGGGACAGGAGCTGGCAGCTATTATGATCCTGGTCTATTATAAGGCCCCTGCTTTTACTTACTGCTGGATCTTGCTGTATTCTGATGAAGGATCTTGTTACTTGTGTATGAGCCTGAAATATGATATTTGCATCTTTCAGTGATTACTGTCGTCTCTGAACTGGAACATTATTATTCAAATAGCATTACGCAGAATTATAGATGATTAGGTGAGCTGCATCTGAAGACACTGTGCTTATCTGGCACCCCTTTCTCCAGGGCTTTGTTGATTATTTGCACAGATCACAGGCTTCGCTTGTTGTAATTCCGCTGGCATCACGTGATGCTTGGCGAAACGGTCGTCTCAAGTGGTGTTCCGGTCGTGTTTGTTCTAACGGAGTGTGCGCGACACTGCAACGAGCCGGAGCAGGGCGGCAGTATGCTCTTGGGAAATCACATGCTCGTTAATTGCTGCTTCTCATTTAGATGTTGTGTGTTGGATGCCTCAGACATGGACCACTGCTGTTTGGTGTTAGTAAGAGAGTTTGCAGAAGTGCTGTGTGTAATAATTGTTGTTTTGAACGATCTAAGGGAAGCTGGTTTTAAGTGTGATAAATGCTTTGGTGTTTTCAGAGCTGTGTTACATTAAAGATGATGAATGTTTTAATATGTGGCTCTTTGAAAACATATGTTTTGTGGTTTGGAAGACTCACAAAAACAAGCTCAGCAAATAATCTCTGAAACAAGGGTCGGCTGCTTTTATTGCCTGATTTACAAAGCCTTTTGTCCTTTCTTCCTTCAAAATCTCAATACAATTATTCTATTCAGTCCAAATACATTTATTTGGGTAACACCCTAAATCATAATAGCAGTTGTCTCATAGGACTTTAAAAAGATGTGAATTCCCCGAGGCAGATCAGGGAATGAAATAAAGCAGTAATAACAACTGCCACTCACCACTGCCCAGAAATGATAACAAATGTGCAGAAATGTCCCGAGTCATCACCTGTCCAAAAACCCACTCAAAAACCCAGTAGATCCAGAGCTGAGGCCGAATCACAACCAAATATATTCCTCTGCTCTTCCTCAAAGTACAGTTCTCCACACCGGTCTGTGGTTAAACAGTTTTTCGTGTGTTTCCTGAGCAGCACTCTGTTGTGGTCATTACAGGTTGATTTCCTGGCCTTGGAGATGAGGAAGGGCAAGATGAATTTCCTGTGGGACGTGGGCTCCGGAGTGGGGAGGGTGGAGTACTCGCAGCTCACCATCCACGATGGACACTGGCACCGCATCGAGGCCTCGCGGTGAGGACACAGAGAATTATTCACATGCAAACACAAAGATGCATTCACAGCAATACAACAAACATATACCGTTTAATGTTCAACTTGAAATTGAGTCGTTGGCAACAGTGACACAAATTCACTGGTGTCACTATAATACAGAGTGGAAGCAGGAGGTCTCAGAGGTCTCAGTATACATCACAGACGGGGAGAAAGGGCAGGCTCCTTTTGTGGCACCAGCACCTGCCACAGCTGATGAGTGGCATGTACACAACAAATGGCTTTAAATTAGACGAGAGACAATACTGACTAGTCATGGATGAACGGTTGTAAATATGTAATTGTGTGTTCTTTATACTGCTCTTTTATTCTTAATATATCTACAGATCATGTGTGTATGAGTTTACTTAAAGTTTTAATACAACGAAAATAAATATTGCTCATTTGTTTTCTTGTACCGGATTAATGTGAACCTTTAGAGGTTAGAGAAAAGATCAACTCTTTGCCATAGCACCTGGAGTTATGTTAAACCTTATGAATACGTATTACCTCCATTAAGTAGACTTCGAAGGGAGACATTACACCAAGACTTATCTTAACATTTAGCTCAATAGGTAGATTCCAACAGCATAGGACCCACCCTTCTCACACAGCGTAGTGTACAAGGTTCATCGGCCCTTTCGGGACACCCCCCTCTCCTTTGGGAACACCGGGAAGGTGGGGGGCACTTAGGGCAAGTGTTCCAGGTCCTCTCCCTCCCCTCACGGCGTATTACCAGGTCTGGAGAGAGATGGGACTCCTCTCAGACGTCTGGTTAGAAAGGACCAGGTCGCCCCGGACAGACCGCATGCCCGTTGGTTCCCGTTTCTGACGAGCGTGGCGGTGATGGAACCGTGGCCCCTCCCGGACGTGCCTTGGGCGCTGCGCCAGGGACAGGGGACGCTTCATTCCTGGGCAACAGACTCTGGGTCTGGAGGCTGAGAGGCAGAACCTCGTAAGCCTGGGCTTCCCCCTGTCAGTGGTGGAGACCATTCCACTGTCAGGGCCTATGGCTGTAGGTGGAAGGTTTTCAGCGACTGGTGCGCGGTGCGTTCTTGGGACCCCAGGTCTTGTCCTCTAGAGGGGGTCCTGGGTTTCCTACAGGAGCTGTTGGATAAAGGCAGAGCTGCTGGCACCTTAGCGGTGTTCGCATCGTCATTTCCTCTGGTCATGGTGGGTTCAGGAGTTTTTCGGCTAGCTCCCATCCATTGGTCAAACGCTTCATTCGGGTGACCCACAGGAAGAGGCCTGTTCTCAGATGGACGCCTCCGATCTGGGACCTCAAGGTGGTACTGAAGGGGCTATCCGGGCCTCCTTTCGAGCCGGTGGCCCGGGCCAGCCCGGAGTGTGTGGCCTTCAAGACTGCCCTTTTGTTGGCCTTGGTGTCAACCAAGAGGGTGGGTGACTTCTAGTACTAGTACCCAAATTAAGGTACTCGGGTATGAAAAAAGTGGTATGGGTGCATCCCTGTGAATAAACTAGTCACATTTGAACAACATAATGTCTTTAATAATGGTTCAAAACTACAGTTTATCTGGACATAAGCACACACAGACATGATACAGACTACAGTCTGGATCTCGGCAGATGTAAAAGCAAAAGACAAAGAATGGGCAAAAGAGCTCTGGTCTTATACCAGACTAACCAAAACCAGATGTCTTCGGCTTCCTGCTTATTTAAACTCCTAGTTTCTCTCATGACTGGGGGATGGGAGAATGCTGCATCCCACCACACACGTAGGTTAACCCAAAGCTGTCTAAACTTTGAATAAATTCATTCACTTTAATGAAAACCCACAATTCCACTATCAATCCATAAATAATTCGATCTCAGGTTTGAGGCCTGTATTTATTCATTATTTTGAATGCGCTTTGATCATTTATAATGTTAGTGCTTTTAATATTTCTTTCTTCTTCTGTTGCTAGTCCGCTATAAAAATAATCTTGCCTCTGTGAAAATAGCGTTGTTTAAACCTCTTCTCAGTCAGTTGGTTTGTAAGTCTATGTTTCCCCCTCTGCTTGTCGTCAACAGTACAATGATTGAACACAACCAGAGTCTGTGCGTACATTGACTCTGCTGTATAAAACATGTTGCTCATTTGGGAAATCAGCAGTATTATTGCATTATTGTACAGTTATTGCACAGACACAGATCCACTCTGCCTCTTGGAGCTCTGTCACTACTTGCTCTCGCCCCGTCTGTACCACACACTTCTCTGCAGGAGATTTCCCAAAGGCATTTTCCAGCCGCATCACACCAGCCATCCGTCTTCCAAACGTCTCCCCTCGCTCTGCACAAAGTATGAAAGCAGAATCAGGCAGCAAGATTCAGAAAGATTCATTCATCTGTAAAAAGTGAGCAGCTAAAACACTGGGACGCTCGCTGACACCATGTTCATAAACATTGAATTCTTGCCGCGGTAACGTTTTCAATCAGCAGAGTTGTCAAACAGAAAGTACATGCAGCAAGTGAATCACAAGCCATGGTTCTTTTGGCCATAGAAAGGGGCTGACCGGGACTGTGGCGGTAGTCCCTCTTGAGGGGCCCAACGCTGGCATGATGCCCACTCCGGCCAGCGCAGATGCCCCCTCCTCTTTCACCATCCTGGACGTGGACCAGAACGCCTATCTGTTTGTCGGAGGCCTTTTTGGAACTATTAAGGTATATCTAATGCTTTTCCCATAATTTTTTTCAGCACTTAAATCTCTGTCTCTCTCTCTCTCTCTCTGATCTCACTCTGGGGTCTCTTGTCTGGTCTCTATCTGGTCTCAAATGTTTGTATTTAGATAACAATCCAGGACTGAGGCTGTAGATCCAGGACTCAGGCTGTAATTTTTGGTATATATTTGTTTTCACTTTTCTCTATGACTTTTGGCAGAAAGCGGAGGCTGTAAGGAGCTCCATGTTCAGCGGCTGCATTGGGGAGACGTTCCTGGACGGTAAACCCATAGGACTGTGGAACTACAGGGAGAGACTGGGAGACTGCAAAGGCTGCGTCATCAGGTAATCTGGAATCACCTTTGACAGCTGATTATGAGCTGACAATGATTGAAGCTGGGGTACCTGACCTTGCTTTCTGCATTAATTAACACATGCTGTTTGTCCACCACAAAAAGAGTCTTAAAGTCAAATGTGAACAGTCAAACGTGCTGTCTTCAGCATATTAGAAAATAGCCCTGTGAGTCACTATTTGACTGTTTTAGCTGAGTGAGGGTGGTCTTTTCTTCTGAATATGTGATAGAGACCAAAACTGCATATGAAATAATAATTGATGTAGTTACATATACATTGTTCAATTTTTCACTAGTTTTCACATGCATGTATTTTTGGCCTCACATCTTAAGATTATCAGTGAGAGAGAGAGCAGAGAGTATAAGACAGCATGTTGTGGTCTGATTTATGTTGGAGCAAACAACATGTATTTTTTATGGGGGTAAAAAGCAGGGTACCTGAGCTTTCTCTCGTGATTCGTGGTGCAGCCCCCAGAAGTCTGACGCTGAGGGCACCGTGCAGCTGGACGGAGAAGGCTACGCTGCAGTGGCGCGTCCCACCAGATGGAACCCTAACGTTTCAACAGTTACCTTCAAGTTCCGCACCTTCTCGTCCGACGCCCTGCTCATGTACTTGGCGACTCAGGACATGGTCAGACCGTCAGCCCTCAACGCTCGTCTGTGTTTGTTCTCTGTCCCTCATCGTCCACATGTGTCCACAGAAGGACTTCATGTCCCTGGAGCTGCTGGAGGGGAAGGTGAAGGTGAACTTTGACTTGGGCTCTGGTTTGGGCAGTGCCAGCTCAACACAACGCCACAATGACGGACACTGGAAATCCCTCACCATGTCCAGGAACAAGAGACAAGGTCTGTTAAAATCGGGAAGGAAGTGGAGTTAAAATTCGAGAGATTTAAAAAGAGTGGAGACAGACAAATTATTTTTCAAACAAGTAAAAACCTGAAAATGACTAGATGATATCTTTAGTTTTTTTCTCAGCTAAAAAGAATTTGAGTAAGCCAGTTCCTGTGCTCCTCAGAGTCCCAGCAGGAGGCCAGTCCCTGTGCTCCTCAGAGTCCCAGCAGGAGGCCAGTACGTTTGCTCCTCAGAGTTGGTTCATATGCAACTAACATGTCCCAGATGTACTTTGGTGCAAGGCCTTGGAGAGACTTGAGAGAGCTGCTTTAAAGTGTGTTCTCTGAGCCACAGGAAGCCAGTGCAGAGACCTGAGACCAGGACTTATGTAAGAGGACTTCCTGGTTAGAGTCAGGACTTCAGATGCAACGTTTTGACTATGTTACTGCTCACTTGGAGAGTCCAATGAGTAGCTGTTCCAGTAGTCTAACCCTATGGAGGCTCTTTCGAGGGTCGGCTGCCTATAGAGCAACCGAGGCCATGGAGATTTTCCCAGAGACCTCAAGAAAGATATCTTGGGTCGCTGGGAATTGTTTAACCCACTGAAATCGACTGGTTCATTTATTGTTATTTGTTTTGGCTTGATTGTTGATGTGGACTGGATGAATCTTACATTTCCGAAGTGACTGTAAACTCTTCATGTTTTCTGGCCATGCAATATTTGCAGATATACTCCCTTTGTGAAGAAAATCTGTCTGTGTTTGTAAACCCTGTCTCTGTTCCAAAGCCACGGTGACTGTTGTGGACATAGATAGCGGTGAAGAGGAGAGGATTGTGGCAGCCTCCCAGGGCTCTGCCATGGGACTCAACCTCAGAGAGAACCAGAGGATCTACTTTGGAGGTCTGCCCACTAATGGAAACTACAGGTAACTACACTACACTATTGCGTATATGTAAAATTCCCAAAAAGCCTCCAAGAGCCCTAGTTTAGCATCCTCCCTGGTTTTATGGAAACTGTGAAAAGTTGCATTTATACTTGTATTTGTTTTATCTTTTTATCTTTACACCCTAAAAAGATCCACATGAAAGTAAAAATGTCCCATAGCCCCACACCATTAGCACACAACAACTATGGTCTCATTATTTCTCATAGAGGTATTTAGAAGTGGAGACAATATTCAAAAACACATGATGTTGACTTACAGAGGAACAAATTATGTGAGGTCTTTGTGAATTTCTCTGGTCTCTCTCTGACCTCTCTCTGGTCTCTTTCATACTGTATCTGGCCTTTATCTGGTCTCTCTGGTCACCCTCATCTCTAGTCTATCTCTGATCCCTCTCTGGTCTCCCTCTGGTCTCCCTCTGGTCTCCCTCTGGTCTCTCTACTCTCTGGTCACTCTGTCTGGTCTCTCTACTGTCTGGTCTCTCAGGTCTCTCTCTCTGGTCTCCCTCTGGTCTCTCTGGTCTCTCTGTGGTCTCTCTCTCTGTTCTCTCACTGGTTACTCTTTCCGCATGGTCTCTCTGGTTTCTCACTCTGGTCTCTCTCTCTGGTCCCTGTCTGGTCTCTTATGAAAATGGTTCTACTACAGTTTTCTAGAAAAAAGCACACCAAACACAAGGGATTAGCTTTATACTTGCATGTACAGTAACGAGAAGGAGATGACTTGCAGCAGCCGAGCAGGACGTGCGTCCTACACAGAACCCAAGCCAAGTCCTGCTTGAAACTCTGCAGGCGGGTTATTTATTTCAGAACAGATAAACCACATCCTCACTTACGGAAAAGCCCCAAAATAGGTGAAGTTACACAACTCTTTGTTGGACCTCGTCTCGCAACATAGTTTCGCCAAAACCCCAATTGTGGACAATGTGGATAATGATTAGCTTGGTTGCAACACCTCAATTGTAGATTTCACACTTCGATGTAGGCCAACCCAAGGTTGTAAAAGACCCTACCATGTTCATATTCATTCATATGATAAACTAAACATCACTAAACACTCCAACGACATCTCTCTATTGCGGCTTTATGAATCTAATCACATCAAATAATGATCTGGGAAAACGACATGACATTTTCTTTCAAAAATGGCTTCTTTCCATTTCTCTGCAACATGAACACAGCCTATTACATGTAAATGTTATTCAAAAGAGGTGATGTATATTTTGTATAATGGATTATTATGTTTTATCCTAACAGCATGGTTGCCAGGTAAACAAGTATTTCCTCCTTCACCTGCACTCTGCATGAGGCTCATTAAAGCACATGTGTTTGTTTACTTTGTTGAAGCGGTGCTGAGAGGACTGGGCGGCAGTCGAAGGCGGAGACCTCGGCGACCCAGTCCGCACACACAACATCTGGCTCTTGGGACGTGGAACGTCACCTCACTGGGGGGGAAGGAGCCCGAGCTCGTGGGGGAGGTTGAGCGATACCGACTAGAGATAGTCGGCCTCACCTCCACACACAGCTTGGGCTCTGGAACCCAACTCCTTGAGAGGGGTTGGACGCTCCACTTTTCTGGAGTTTCCCGCGGGGAGAGGCGGCGAGCTGGGGTGGCCATTCTCATTGCCCCCCATCTCAGCCGCCACGTGTTGGAGTTCTCCCCGGTGAATGAGAGGGTCGCGTCCCTCCGCCTCCGGGTGGGGGACAAGTCTCTCATTGTTGTGACGGCCTACGGGCCTAACAGCAGTGTAGAGTACCCGGCCTTCTTGGAGTCCTTGGGAGGGATACTGGACGGTGCACCGCCCGGGGACTCCGTTATTCTCCTGGGGGACTTCAACGCCCATGTGGGAAACGCCAGTGACACTTGGAGAGGGGTGATCGGGAAGAACGGCCCCCCTGATCTGAACCCGAGCGGTGCTCAGTTGTTGGACTTCTGTGCCAGTCACGGTTTGTCCATCACGAACACCATGTTCGAGCACAAGGGTGTCCACCAGTGCACGTGGCACCAGGACACCCTAGGCCGGAGGTCGATGATCGACTTTGTTGTCGTATCATCTGACCTTCGACCGCGTGTCTCGGACACTCGGGTAAAGAGAGGGGCGGAGCTGTCAACCGATCATCACCTGGTCGTGAGTTGGATCCGCTGGCAGGGGAAGAAGCCGGTCAGACCTGGCAGACCTAAGCGTATAGTGAGGGTCTGCTGGGAACGTCTCGCTGAGCCCCCTGTCAGACGGACTTTCAACTCACACCTCCGGGAGAGTTTCTCCCAGGTCCCGGCGGAGGAGGGGGACATGGAGTCCGAGTGGACCATGTTCTCTGCCTCAATCGCCGATGCGGCGGCTCGTAGCTGTGGTCGCAAGGTCTCTGGTGCTGGTCCCGGCGGCAACCCCCGAACCCGGTGGTGGACACCGGCAGTAAGGGATGCTGTCAGGCTGAAGAAGGAGTCCTATCGAGCCATGATGGTTCGGGGGACTCCTGAGGCAGCTGTCCAGTACCGGCAGGCCAAGCGTGCCGCGGCCCGGGCTGTTGCAGAGGCACAAACCCGGGACTGGGAGGAGTTCGGAGAGTCCATGGAGCATGACTATCGGTCGGCCTCGAAGAGATTCTGGCAAACCATCCGGCGCCTCAGGAGGGGGAAGCAGTTCTTTGCCAACACCATGTACGGTGCGGGTGGAGAGCTGCTGACCTCGACTGGGGATATTGTCGGTCGGTGGAAGGAATACTTTGAGGTTCTCCTCAATCCTCCCGTCACGTCCTCTGTTACAGAGGCAGAGGCTGAGGATGTTGGGGCGGGTACATCCATCTCCCTGGCTGAGGTCACCAAGGTGGTTGGTAGCCTCCATGGTGGCAAGGCTCCGGGTGTGGATGAGATCCGCCCTGATTATCTAAAGTCTCTGGATGTTGTAGGACTGTCTTGGCTGACACGTCTCTGCAACATCGCGTGGCGATCGGGGGCAGTGCCAATGGAGTGGCAGACCGGGGTGGTGGTCCCTCTCTACAAGAAGGGGGACCGGAGGGTGTGTTCCAATTATCGTGGGATCACACTCCTCAGCCTCCCCTGTAAGGTCTACTCCAAGGTACTGGAGAGGAGGTTACGGCCGATGGTCAAATCTCGGATCCAGGAGGAGCAGTGTGGTTTTCGTCCCGGTCGCGGAACACTGGACCAGCTCTATACTCTCCATCGGATACTCGAGGGTGCATGGGAGTTCGCCCAACCTGTCCACATGTGCTTTGTGGATTTGGAGAAGGCGTTCGACTGTGTTCCCCGGGGTGTCCTTTGGGGGGTTCTCCGGGAGTACGGGGTCGGAGGTCCTCTGCTGAGGGCCATCCGATCCCTGTATGACCAGAGCCAGAGCTGTGTTCGCATTGCCGGCAGTAAGTCAGACCTGTTCCCGGTGAATGTTGGCCTCCGACAGGGCTGCCCTTTGTCACCGGTTCTGTTCACTGTATTTATGGACAGAATATCTAGGCGCAGCCAGGGGTCGGAGGGGGTCCGATTCGGAGACCACAGGATTTCATCTCTGCTGTTTGCGGACGATGTTGTCCTGTTGGCTCCAACGAACCAGGACCTGCAGCATGCACTGGGACGGTTTGCAGCCGAGTGTGAAGCGGCTGGGATGAGAATCAGCACCTCCAAATCCGAGGCCATGGTGCTCGACCGGAAAAAGGTGTCTTGATATTGAGATTGCGGATACAAGCGGTCGAAATGAGCTTCCTCCGCAGAGTGGCTGGGCGCTCCCTTAGAGATAGGGTGAGGAGCTCAGTCACACGGGAGGAGCTCGGAGTAGAACCGCTGCTTCTCCACGTCGAGAGGAACCAGTTGAGGTGGCTCGGGCATCTGTTCCGGATGCCTCCTGGACGCCTCCCTGGGGAGGTGTTCCGGGCACGTCCCACCGGGAGGAGGCCCCGCGGAAGACCCAGGACACGCTGGAGGGACTATGTCTCTCAGCTGGCCTGGGAACGCCTTGGGGTCCCCCCGGACGAGCTGGAGGAAGTGTGTGTGGATAGGGAAGTCTGGGCGTCTCTGCTTAGACTGCTGCCCCCGCGACCCGGCAACGGATAAAGCGGAAGAAAATGGATGGATGGATGGATGTTTGTTTACTTACCATCAATTGGACAATTACTGGCTGATTCACGCTCCTGTGAAGCTTTTCACCATTTATTAATCTGAGTTTGACATTTGTTTCTCCAGCCATTAGCAAATCACATGTCGTCACACGCCAACACTATTGAAATTATAACTACAGCTTGCTACATATTTGTTCATATATGAAATATGTATCTTTCTGATGAAGACACAGGCTTCATCACCGCTGCAGCTGTACAGTTCCTTCTTGGGCTGCTTCCTTGCTGTAGACCTCTAGATTGTTGCTTTCCCTGTGTTTGTAAATGAGCTGTAACTAATGATCACTCCGCTTCCCAAAGGCCAGAGGTCTCGCTGAAGCGCTACGCTGGCTGCCTGAGGGACATCGAAGTGTCCAGGACTCCGTATAATCTCCTGAGCAGTGCAGACTACACTGGGGTCACCAAAGGATGCAGTGTGGAGGTAAGGGGCTCATTCGGTTGGGGCAGTGTGAAGGACAGGCTAAAGATACATGCAAACACAACTGCATCACATCAGTAGTACATGTGACAGATATGTGCTTCATTCCTTAGAAATTACTATCAGCCACCGTCTTTGTTTCCCCACCCTTTTTTCTGTCTTCAAAACTAAATGAGATAACAATATTTCTCATAATCTTGTAAAGATTGTATTTATTAGACTTTTTACCATGTTACAATGTTACCTCATCAAAAATTGGAGAGGCAGATGACCAATGTCCATAAATGTTGAAAAATGTCCATAAATGTTGTTGAATGTCAAGTATCCTGGATCATCGCCACTGAAAAACTCTAATAATAAAAACAGCATATTCTCTGCTCACACACGCACAGCTTTAGCAACAGTCCACTGTGTGCTCGCCAGAGCTATTAATATTCTAAACAAATGTGAATTATCCATTTACGGATCATCTGAACTCTGCCTCTACACTCCCATTCAACATGCTGCACATCTCAATCTTCCTGTTTCTTATCAATAATGCAACTCCATCCAGGTGTTTAGACATTAAGGACAAGCCAACCCCCAGTGAGAGATGAGACAGCAACGTACGACTCCTATGTTTAAATATCTACCATAAGATGGAGAGTTATAAAAAAAGAAACTTATTTAAAAAAACATAAAAAAATGAAAGTTGGAAAATGGATAATGGAGCCTACAATCAGGACATGAATTGGATGAACACATCCCATTGGGGTCCGTGTATTTTTCGTTCAATTGTTTTTTCAAAATAAAATTGAAAATGAAATAACAAAAAATGGCTTGAATTTTCATTTTTCATTTTGATGAGGAAAAGGAAAAACGAAAAATTGGCTTGATATTTGATTTTTCGTTTCGATGCAAAAAATGAAAAAACGAAATATTGAATAATGCTATCATGCCGATTTGATTTCATTTTTTGTTTTGGGGCAACCGGAAGTGTGCGCCAAAGCCCGTGCACCCCATTATTTTCGTCCGGTTTGAAACAGCAGAAAGCAGGCTGGCCTCAAGTGAGTTCAGTCTGGTTCAGTCTGGTTCAGTCTTGACCTGAAAATGTGAGGAAATAGGCGGAGGCTGCTTTCACCACAATTGCTTCTATATGCCAGTGAACTTGTCTTTATATGCCTGAAATGTGTGTCTTCGGGTCGAACACGTGACGTTGTGCACGTTCACGTTAGCTGTAGCAGCGCTGGCTGTATCTGTCATTACTGAAGCTGCAGAGGTGGCTCTGGAAAGATGAATACTGTGGAGAATAACAAGAGACCGCCTCCAGGCAGCGCTGAAACTCCAGCCCAAACTAAAGTAAAGTGCTTGAAAGGTAAGGCGGTTGTTTCTAAATACGTGTGGGCAAAAATAGTGTTAGATGCTTTCAACGCAGCGGTCCGTGTATCAAAAGGCTACGTAGCAAAATGCTGTTTCTTTTGCCAGTAACTGAGTTTTGCTGCGTTTTAATTGTGGAAAACGCACAGAATGAGGCATGGATGTCTCCTTTTCCAAAATACCAACCTTCTAATCTCTGCGTTAGAAGGAAATAACACAACAGCTAGCATTAGCTGGATATGCTACATGAACTGATGCGCAGCGTTTTGTTTACAAACGGGGCTATTTTAGAAACAACTGTAGTACCTACAGCTTTAGCAAAGGTCTTGTTGTTTAGTTAAGAAGAAGAGGCTTACAAACATGTCCAGTATTCAGGCAATAATGTGTAAATTACATTATTATTATTGCATTATTCTCAATGTATTTCAATGTGTACATGCTTTGCACATGTGTTTACCAAAGCAAGTACTAAAATGGCATGTGTGAAGTTACATTCTTTTTAACACTTTTTGTGTCCATATAGTTTGGAACAGCCAAAACTGAAACATGGGATGCACGGAGGAGATGATCGACAGATTACTTGCGCCCTTGGTAAGCAAGCATATTCACTACAGTGTATCCTTACAGGCCACTCTCCAGGTAATGCACTAAGCTCTTGGACATCTGATTATTATAGATTTGCTGGAATGTTTGTTTTTCATTATTTTCCCATTATCTAACTTTTTTATTTAGGAATATTAAAGGTAAAGGTGCACTTGATTGATCCCCGCAGGGCAATTCAATCCTCTGCATTTGACATAACATGCTTATGAGTTTGTAATTTGAATTGCAACTTGTTACAAGATTATTTTGTTGTGTTCTGAACAGATCCAGAAAAGGGCAGATATCAGGGTATTATTCCTTCACTCGATGTCTGGCATGCCTCAAATAATCTAACAAAGAAACTTTGTGCTGTATGTCGAATTATATTATATTGTTCTGTCAAGACTTTGTTTTAAATAACTTTGGTGTTTTCCAACAGGCTGGAATGGTTTCTGGTCAAAAGCCTATACTTGTATGGATCAAGGACATTAACCATTTTTGTTATGCTTGTCAGAACACAAGCCCCAGAGAGGAGTTTATGGTCTGTATTAACATTACACATTTATAAAGTCACCTGATATTGTCACTTCTTCTCTTTGTGTGGTGAAATGGTATAACTTTTTTTACACATGTAATTTCTTGTCTTCTTGTACACTCCTCGCTGCAGTAGACAATAACACCATAACCATCGCCCAGTGCATGTGAACAGGAAAGGCCCAGTATCGTGAGTCATACTTTATTGCTTGATGATAAAGAAATATTATTTGTACTGATGTCTACACTAATGATTTGTAGACATGAACGAGTCTACAGCAAAAAGTCTCAGCGTTACAGTGTGCACTGTGAAAGAGACTGAAGACTACAGCTCTATCCCAGACCAGCGCCTCAGCTCTGCTGGGGCTCATGACCCCAGGGCCCTGGGTCCTCTCCTCCTCATCCCTCCTCCTGCAGCTGAACTGGAGCAGACACAACAGAGGACAGGTAGTGATGATTATAAATGTGAAAAAAGTCTCAATGATATAAAATATATTTTATTTCTTTCTTTTTCTAGAACTTGATATCTGGTCCCTGAACAGAGGACAGCAATCAAAGATGGACACAGCACATTTATTTATATTATGTTAGATTTTTTACACATTTTTTCCCAAACATTGAAATAAATGTAAGACTTGTTTCTAAAGTGGTAATGAGTTGCATTTTTGTTTTAATTCCCCACTGTGGGACTAGTAAAGCGGGCTTCTTTATAACCAGCAGGCCGTGCTCTTCTTATTCTAGACTCTCCTTGCTGCTCCTCTTCCTCCTCTGGCTGCTCCTCTTCCTCCTCCTCCTCTCCCCCTTTCAGAGTCACTGCTCTCAGGAACTCAGATTTAACTGGACTGGAGTCCTGGAAGGAAAAGCAAAAAGATTTACATGTCACCATTCTGGAATGTATGTTTTGTACAAACTTCATTGATGTGAGCCATGAAAAAAGATGTTGAATGTACCAGAACAGTTGATAATCAGTGTTGGGCACGTTACTTTGAAAAAGTAATTAGTTATAGTTACTAGTTACTTCTCCCAAAAAGTAACTGAGTTACTAACGGAGTTACTCCACTATAAAAGTAACTAGTTACCAGTAAAAGTAACTATTGCGTTACTTTTTCGTTTTGTTCTGGAACATAATGTGCACCCGACGTGCGCATTTTTACATTTAACAGTGCCAATATTTCCATCTAGAAAAGGCTGTTTTGCTGCTGAAGTCTTGTTCACTCTTCATCTCTCACTGTGCTGTAAAGCCCGCCACTGTGAATGTGGAAACACCGGTGACGAGCGGTGAGGCTGGTGAAGCACTGACTTCAGTCCAATCAGATGAACATATACATCATATAAATCAAGTGGACAATTTGTTTGGCTACAGCAAAATATGTTTTATGCCCGCATTGTTTCTTCATACAAAACGCAAAACTATGAGTTATGGGTCTTACCTTATAGCTATACCTTATAAATGACCTGCACAGTCCACTTCGGTTCAGACCAGTTCCTTGTTTAAATCCAGTTAATGGTTTGAGCGTAGATATGTAATCCTCCATTTGGAAATGAGTCCAATGAGTTTTAAAAAGTAAAACAAAACGCGTGTGTCCTCCATAAACTCCTGTTTTGCTAGGTGCAGCCGGGTGTATCCAATTTCTAAAATCAACCGTCTTACACTTCACCTCTCTTTCTTATCATTCCTATAGTAATTGAAAATTACCCTATGTGCATTTTAGATTATCTAAAAATGTGTTATATGTATGTTAGCCAAACCTGTTGCTTTCCTTAGCAGATAAACCAGGAAGAGCAAGGAGCTTATCGATGGAATTGTATGCAGCCGACTTCTGCGCTCACATGCGCTCCTCTGTGGCTGACCTCACGGTGATACAAGCCGTGGTTGAGCGCGATTAAGACCCATATTTGTTTCAAAAACACAATTTATGAGCCATCCTCTCAACTGTAGACATGTGGATTGTAAAGGAAATATGTTCAGCCAATAATTGCTGAGAGGTTTTCTCATCCTCCCTTCTCTCATGACAACACGTTCATTGTGCGTCTTGAGTAACGCGCAGTAACGGGATGTCGGAAATGATAACGGCGTTATAGTTACTGTCAAAGTAATTAGTTAGATTACTCGTTACTGAAAAAAGTAACGCCGTTATTCCCATCACTGTTGATAATATAGTTTTATACCTACAGACAACTTGTGTAGTATTAGTAGCAGACTAGTGTCAGTAATAACAATAATAAAAACAAAACAGTAACAGTGGTAATTATGCTGTATTTTCTATGGGAATAATAATGTTGCTAATGTTAGCTTGTCTTGGCTGCAAAATAAGAGTGACTTCACTGATTTATGTTTATGAGTAATAAATATACTACAAAAAGTCTCATGCTACGCTAACCTTATAAGGCCCAATGAAAAGATGATTTTGGCTTGTCATAGAAGCATTTCTATCCGTGGAATTGTATTATTACAGTTAGGCTTACGTTTATCTATACAAACTATACACTTTTGTATACGTTCTTTTGATGATTCACTTTGCTTTACATTTGTTGAAATATCACATCTTGGAAAATATACACATTGATTTGGTCTAAATATCATACAAAACAGTAACATTACTTACCTCTGTTGAAGTCATCCCCGCAAATCTGTAAATGATCAGGACAGGACCATATCAGGTGTTGTTTCTGTTTTGTTCCTCCTGCACGCGCCTGCTTTCTGCTGTTTCAAACCGGACGAAAATAATGGGGTGCACGGGCTTTGGCGCACACTTCCGGTTGCGCCAAAATGAAAAATGAAATCAAATCGGCATGAAAGCATTATTCAATATTTCGTTTTTTCATTTTTTGCATCGAAACGAAAAATCAAATATCAAGCCAATTTTTCGTTTTTCCTTTTCCTCATCAAAATGAAAAATGAAAATTCAAGCCATTTTTTGTTATTTCATTTTCAATTTTAATTTGAAAAAACAATTGAACGAAAAATACACGGACCCATTGGTTCGAGGGGGGATGAACCAGGCCTGGACTGGCCGTTTGGCATACCGGGCAATGCCCGAAGGACCGTTGCCCATATTTGGGCCGGTCTGTCTTCTTCAAACAACCAACATTTTTTGCGAACTGTAAAAATTCATTGAGAAATGTTTGAGGGGCGTGCGTGACCGTGGGGCCCCCTGCTGTTGTTTTCTGTTTGAACTCAAACGAGATCTCGCCGCCTCCGCGGCCGCAGAGGTCTGGCGTGGCTGCGGCCGCTTAGTAATGACCAATTCCCGCGTCCAGCAGCTTTGACAACATGGTAAGCGCGCAGCCGTAACATGGCCCTATTCCCAAGACCATACATGCGCACAGGACCATTCGCTGCTTGTTGTGTACGTGCGTCTTCCCTATGTCTCCTCACAAAGCGCGACTAAACTCACTAAATTAAAGCTGGGATACCTAACTTTTCCATTGCATTAACAGTTCATGTTGGTTGTGCCGAAAAGTAAAATGCTGACAGCCATTGGCTGACACTATGCTTTGACTTTTTTTTAAATGTCCCATTCTCATCCCGATTATTAGTCTCTAGTAATGTAGACTATTGCACTTTATTTTAATTGTTGAAACTGCATACATCCTGATCCTCTACACTGTAGAGTCTATAGTATTTGGTTCCGCATACCGTGTATATAACCGTAAAAAAACATACCCGGGCCGTAAAGAAGCAAAAATGCCTGGGCCGTTTTTTGGTCCCAGTCAAGCCCTGTGATGAACGCATCCCAGTGGTTTCGTTCAATCGGACCGCCCCAAAGTATTTATAGTTTATTTTTTGAGGCTACAGGCATCTAGTCATGTCCATTCCTATTTGAAGACACATGATAACTTGACTACTTTTGGGGTTTAGGAACATTTCCCCACAGTATTTTAAAAATTGCGTCTGGATAAATCATTTACTGCATTTTTGATTATAAATATACAATATGAAATGACAAACCCTTTAAAGTGATAGTTAGTAACTCTAAATGAATTACAAATGTTAGGAAATGTGTTAAATTGACCTCCTGGCCTTAAATGTTGATATAAAATAAATCATTTTATTAATTCTAATATTACAGGTAAGTCCCGCCTTCCCTGCTCTTAGCTATAGTTCAGAATCCACGGTGCCGTCAAGGTTAACCAATCGAGTCATGCCAAGGGCTGTCAATCATCGGAGCTGATGCTCGCAGCTGCGCGCATGCGCAGTTGTTTGTTTTCGCGGAGCCTCTATTAGGCTCTGGAACTACATGAAAACTGAACAAAGAATTCTGAACATCCACGCTGAGGTACTTATGTATATACTGAACCTATATCCATATTCAGATCCTCTGCAGATGTCTCCTATAATGTGCAATTCATGATAATAGCACTTCCTGGTTTGCCGCGATCGCTTTTTTTGTGTGCATAAAAACATTTTTTTTTTCATTAAAACGTTCACAAATAATTCTGAAAACCTCTGTGCATGTGTATTAATAATGTATATGTATAATATGTTTTCTGATTAACATTTCAAAGTGTTACGGAAACTTAGGTGTAGACCAATCAGAAAGGAAGGGGGAGGGAGCTTGCGTCGTTTTTTTCAAATCAAGTACCTCTCTGTCTCTCTTTCTGACAAACTCCAGACAATCACTTTAATAATGATAATGATATTTTCTGCGCTAGAATATACAATTTTTTTATACAAATGTATACTTCTTTTTTATGCTAAAGTTAGGGAAACAATTTGAGCTTCTACTATTAAGAAGCAACAATGATTACATTTGTCCACTAGACGTCAGTGTTACAAGCTTGTCTGAGCTAGCGCAGAGGCTTAAGTTTGGCAGGAAAGCCTCAGTGTGATACAGTGTTACGGGAATTAATTCGCCAATCACAACTATTGTGGTATAGTTAGCAACATCTTGCAATGTTTGCAAACTACTGCGTTTACCTTTGGTTTTAGTGTGAAGTGTTGCCCCACATTGGAAACTTTTGACACCTCTTAATTCCCCTGTTTTGCTGTTGCTCTTGCCCAGTGCTCTCTGCGTCGTCTTCCATTATGAGCTATGTACAGTCTATAGAGCTACAGTATGTTGGCCTCGAGGCAGGAGAAATTTCTTAAATATTCTTAATACTCGAATTACTCAAGTAACTCGTGGAATCGTTTCAGTTACAGATGTAGGTTTACTTTTATAAGTAAAAGTATTTCTCTCCGAGTTGTTCCGAGTTAGATCCCGGCACAATGGTTGCTGTAAACGTAGATTTTGGTTTGATAATGTGTGGGCACCCTGGCTTAGACCCTCCTGCATCAGCAAGGTTCAGGGAGGCCCATATTGAGAGTAAAAAATGAATCAAGGTGCATGTATATAGCAAAACTCTCCTGGCAGGATCCGCTCCCCACATGGACAGGACCTCTGTATGGTATACATTTTAACTGATCTAAATACTGACGTGTTTCTCTCAGGTGTGACTTGTGGAGAAGTCACTCACTTTTCTCCAATGTTGATGAATACATTTAATGCCAGACTGTGGAACATTTTAGGCACAACAAAATTTGGATGAGGGATCACCGGCTCGGGAGAAATCAATATCTCGCCACCCAGGGCTTTTGGACCCTCAAATAAAGAAGCAAAGTGATCAGTCCTCAGCCCCTCAGCCCCTCGGACCACCAACCATTCACACACACACACACACCAGTCTCATTCTAATGTGGGTGAACTGTGTTGCCTAGCTTTGACATGCAGATGGCGCCACAAACCACTTATGCATTTAAAAAAAACTCAATATTTAAAAGGCTGTTTCCAATGCCTACACATAGAACATTGTGCACAATACAAAGATAATATATTTATGTATTTATTTCGAGCAAGTATGTGCGCATAGAAATAGTTAGTACAAATTGATCACAAGCAATTTAGGTACATTTACAAAATATAACATAAAGAGTAAATGATATATTGGTTACTGTTGGTCACATGTCACCGTTATAGAGTATTGACCCTTTAGAACACGTTTCAACAGCTCACTGCTGTTTTTGTCCCGAAAAGGGACAAAGGTTGGAGACCCTTTATTTAGACCTGTTCTAATTCTGTGTTTCTCCTGCAATAGAACCTGCACATAGTGAGCTTCTCCAAGCCGGGCTTCATGGAGCTGAGAGGGCAGTCCCTGGACGTGGCCTCAGAGATGAGCCTTTCTTTCAGCACCCTGAACGACACCGGGACCCTTCTCCTGGCCGTGGGAGGCTCTGCTCCGGTCTCTCAGCAGGTCAGAAGTCACCACAACCCCCTGAAGAACCAAAACCTTCTGCTCTGCATTGCTCTGATCCAGGCCTGCAGCAGTTACCTATTATCAACTGAGTTCTCAATGATCAGCAACTGTTTTTGTCATGGAATCATCACTCACTTCTATGAAATTGGATATTTGTGAAAGATTGTAATGTTAATACTCAGAACAGTATTATCTTCACTATAAAGTACTTCTTTCATCTTCTTGTCCTCATAACGTCCTCCATGTTTCCAGTTAGATCAAGTCTGAGAATGAGTAAAGAAAAAGTGTTATTTACTCATTTTTATTGGTGGAAAAAAAACACAATTCTATTATTATTGCAACAGTAGATGAGGTGGCCTTTGGGCCTGAAGTGGGTTTGCTGAATGCTAAATGTGTGTGTGGTTCCTCCTCAGGCTCGGAACCTAAACTTCTACAACAACAAGAGGAAGCGGCGCCAGTCCGGCGAGGTAAGACAGCCCCTCTTTGTATAAGTGCATATTAATGAGATTAGCATCTGTGACTCCCGAGCTAACAGGATTGTCTCGAATCCAAAACACACCCAGTTTTGAACGTTTGTGGCCATAATATTTACCCCTGACCCAGAGCTGAGGCTTTCGCTGACGAAGCAAAAACAGCTGCTTTTGGTCAGATGCACATTCAGGAGATTTGGATAATCAAGTTACAACGTCATACTCAAGTGGACCATTAGCTCAATACAAATTTCTTTCTCTATATAATTGTTTGGCTAATATCGTGCTACAACAACCACAGTCCTGGATCTACAGCTGCAGTCCTGGATCTACCGTCTGAGTTCTGGACATACGGCCTCAGTCCTGGATTCTGGACCCTCACACACGTCCTCTGTGTTAGCCGTAGCTTATCCATCATCGGCGTGAGTCGGATGCATAAATCTATTTTTACTAACTCCGCTGGCAGGAAGGGCGCCGTTTGTGTGTGAGTGCTGCGAGAGGTGAAGACGGGTTAAAAACACCATCAACTCAACTTGGCCCTAACTAATGGATGTTCGAGAAGGGTACAAAGGGGAGAGAGCAGAGTGGAGGGGAGCCGAGGGAGAGAGGAAGAGAGGAGAATGCAGGGGAGCCGAGGTAGAGAGCAGAGGGGACGAGAGAGAGAGAGCTGAGGGGAGAAAGAATGAGAGCAGAGGGGATGAGAAAGAACAGAGTGAAAGGGAGGCGAGTGAGAGTACAGAGGAGATGAGAGAGTGAAATTTATTTATTAGTTTATTTCCCCACTGAAATATCAAGGCTATGCTGTCATCGTCACCACTTGTGAGGGGCTGGTGCTCTGTGATTTGGGTGGCAGCTGATTGCCACCATCCCCCTGACCCAAAAATGGACAAAGGGCATTGAATGAATGAATAGTTTGTTTGAATTGTGTTCCAGAACTGAACGGCACACACTGAGATAGCTGACTGACTGAAGGCACTTTTCTCAGTCGGACAATAAGATAATTAGAGGCAGCAGATCTAGTGTTTCTGTTGTTCTGCTCAAAGAAATAGACAGTGGTGGTGGGGCCAGGCCATTTAAGAAGAAGTTTTCCCAGCGAATTATCTTATATTTGACAAAGATGCTGCAGTGACTTTTAACGCCTCTATATGACAGTACATATATATTTTCTTTAGGAACCATATTTCTATAATAGAATGAGGAGGAAAAGTAGTAGGGAGAGGCTACTCGTGTAGCAGCTGCTACAATAACTCTAATAGCAGGAGTAGTAGTTGTCTGATTGTGTATGCAAATGTACACTTCATTTATCCCCATAGAGAATTTTGTCCTAGGCATTGGATCCATCCTGATGCCACTAGGGTCTTGGTCAGGCGAAATGGTTGCCGTTGTAACAGGTGATCCGGGTCTGGGCTAGAGCTGGAGGATTTGACCTATTGCAGATGTTTGTATTGTACTGTACATGTATAGTAAATGTATCCTCAATAGTCTTGATATCCACAGTGGTCTCCTTGTATCCAGGCAGTGCTTTTCCTCTACATGTTTATCACAAATTATCTCACATATTCAGTGAATTTTAAGTGTCTCTCGACGTTATGAGTTTGAGGGAGCGAGGCGGGTGCCGTGTTGTATCTACATCTCACTTCAATTTGTCCCGACCTCAAATTGAAATTCCATTTTCAGGAGGTAAATTGTCTCCCACTTCGCCCTCTGGCACACGTTGAATTAAAATTCAAATTAGCCTGACCCTGCTCCGCTGCTCTCATCACCTCTGTCTGTCTGCACACCTCCATTTCTGCTCTCACATGTACCCACTTCCTCTTCCTCATCCTTCTCCTGCCTTTATAGAAACACTGCTTTCTATAACTATCTATAGCTTATGGAGAAGCAAAACTGCCAAAATAATAAATATATAAATATTTAAATATTTACATATATATGTATATATATATATATATATATATATATATATATATATATATATATATATTCAGATTCCGTTTATTTGTCATTTGCAGTAAAAAAAAAAAAAAAAAAACACATTGGAATACATTAGCAAAAAGTCTCCAGATGCGTGCACAGACAAATACAGACATAAAACAACATTAAAAATACGGAAAAAAAACAAATAAAACGGTAAACAAGTGTCACTGTGAAATCGATCGGCTAAAACAGTTTCAAAACAAGTGCAAATCATTAAAGTGCTCTGTTCAGACTGATAACAGCCTGTGGAAAAAAGCTGTTAGCATAACAAGATGTCCTGCATCTCAGAGAACGATATATCTTCTGCCAGAGGGAAGAAGCTGGAACAAGGCTTTTCCAGGGTGGCCAGAAGAGTCATTGATAATTCTTAGAGCTCTATTAAGAAGTCTGGATTTATAAAGAACCTCCAGAACAGGAAGCTCACAGCCCACGGTCCTCTTTGCAGAGCGGAGCACCTTGTTTAACGCTCTCTTTTCTTTATCTGTGATGTTTCCAAACCACACAGACACAGAACCAACAAGCAAACTCTCAATGGTGCAGCGATAAAAGTTGAGCAGAATCTTAGAGTTAGTGGTAAATACTCTAAGTTTCCGCAGGAAGTAGAGACGTTGACGAGCTTTCTTAACAACCCGGTCAGTGTTTTTAACCCATTTCAGGTCGTTAGACAGAGTTAAACCCAGAAACTTACACTCCTCTACAATCTGTACCTGGGAGTTGTCGATAACTACAGGAGTGTGAGAACTGTTACGACTGAAGTCAATCAATCAATATATATATATATATATATATATATATATATACATACACACACACACACATATAATTAAATGTTTATATAGATTTATTTATTTATACATGTGTAAAACTCAAGTCTTGAAAGTATCTTTCAAGACTTGAGTCTTAACACCCAGATGGGAATTGGGAAAGCAACCCTCAGTCTCTCAAAAGGGGCTAAATAGGCCTGCCGTAATGACCTACAGTCAACACAGGGTCCACGTGTGGCAGGGGAACACTAGTAGGAGGAAACGGGGGCCTGGAAGGTGGACGACCGCGACGAGGAACTTGGGCCGGCAACACTGTCTCACCTGCCAAAACAAACGCAGGCTTAAGGCAGTCCACAGACACCAGCTCCCTACGCCCTCCCAGATCCAAAACAAAACCCTTTGAACCCAGCTGAAGCACATGGAAAGGGCCGTCATATGGAGGCTGGAAGGGCGAGCGGTGGGCATTGCCTGGCGGGGACCCGGGGAGGCCGACTGCAGCAACAAAACTCCCCCGGGACACGAAGTGGCTGGCCAAACACCAACTTTGCAGAAGATGCATCCAGGTCTTCCTTAGGAGCCGAGCAAAACCCACGGCAGACAATCCATCCAACAGTCATCCTGAGCGCAGCGTGCAAAGCTGCCCTGAGCGTGTGATAGAAACATTCACACAGCCCGTTAGCCTAAGGGTGATAGGCTGTAGTACGGAACACCTTTATCTCCAAGGAATGCGCCATACCCGACCAAAGATCCAAAATAAACTGAGGCCCTCTGTCGGAAGTATTGTCCGATGGCAAACCAAAACGGGTAACCTAAGGGGAAAGAAATCCACCAATCCCCTCAGCGGACGTGATGGAGGACAGGGGAACACCTGGTAGTACGATCCACCATAGTGAGGAGGTGTGTGAAACCTCTTAATGGAGGCGGGGGCCAACCAGATCAACCTGCACATGGGCAAAACGTCTCGCCGGAATCGGAAAAGGTTCAAGGGAGGCTTTCATATGTCGGTGCACCTTCGTCCGTTGACAAGCAACGCAAGAAGCTGGCCAACCTCAAACATCTTTGCGTAAACGAGGCCAAACTAAACGGCTACTAACCAGCTTAACCAATGCTCGCACACCCGGGTGAGAGAGGGAGTGCACGGAATCAATAATCGTCACACAGGAGCGACGGGCCCCCTACTTCAAGCGTCCTCACCTCGAGCTTGAGACCCGAACCGACAGAGCGAAGGGCAACGATATCCACATCGCCAGGCTGCTCAGCGGCCATAGCTGAGAAATCTGCCCCGAGGAGAACGGGGCAAACCAAGACGCGAGAGAGACAATCTGCGACCGTGTTGGACTTTCCAGCAACATGACAAATGTCTGTTGTGAACTCAGAAATAGCCGCCAGATGGCGCTGTTGCCGCGCTGACCAGGGTTTGGTTACTTTAGCCATGGCAAACGTCAGCGGTTTATGGTCCACATACAGTATGCCGTGAAAGGACGACCCTCCAGCAAAAGACAAAAATGTAGAGCAGCCAAAAACAACGGCAACAACTCGCAGTCAAAAACGCTGTACTTACGCTCGCAATCCCGCAACTTACGGCTGAAAAATGCCAGTGGCTGCCAAGCTCCATGCACCTGCTGCTCCACCACAACTCCAACAGCCAACTCCGAAGCATCGGTTGTCAGGGCAATAAATAGGGGCATCAGGGTCGGGATGAGCGAGAAGAGCTGCATTAACTAATGCAGACTTTGCTCCGTCAAAAGCTACAATCCGGTCCGGGGTCCAGACTACGGTGTTGATGGCCTCTCTAAAACACAGAGCATCATTAAGGGGAAGGAGAATGAACCTGCTCGGGGAATGAACCTATTGTAGAAGTTCACCAAAAACTCCTGCAATGCCTTGATCACAACCGGACGCAGAAAATCCGCCACCATCTATACTTTAGCAGGCAATGGAACCGCGCTGCGTGCTGAGACGTGATGACCCAAAAAATCAATCATAGGCATCCCGAACAGGCATTTAGTCGGGTTGACAATCAGGCCATGAGCATCCAAACGCTGAAAAACTTCCTTGAGATGTCTGTGGTGCTCTTCAGCCGATGAGCTGGCCACCAAAATGTCATTGGGATAAACATACACAAAGTCAAAGCCGCGCAACACCGAATCCATCAACCTCTGAAAAGTTTGTGCCGCCCCCTTGAGGCCAAATGGCATGCGGAAGAACTCAAAAAGCCCGAACGGGGTGATAACAGCGGTAGTGATTTGCTGAGCGTGCCGGGTCTTCGAAGCGTGTACCGAGTAAAAAAGGGGCGTATTTTTTGAAGCGTGGTTCGAGGCGTGTGTTGGTGACGTATGTGGTGACGTTCGAAGCCTCGCGTAGCGGCCGCACCACGTGACGGTTCATATAGTGCTTCATATATGAAGCTATATATATATACCGAACTATAGTTCGGAGAGTGCATTGCTTTGACAGGTGCTTTGTGATCCGCGGCTGTACCATAGACTGTATTGGCTGTCCCTGTCTGCCTCTGTGTGCGTACGTGTGTGTGCGTGATGTGGAGCAGTCCTGTACTAAGTATAGAGAAACTACTTCATATGAAATACAATTAAAAACGTTTCACTTTAGTAAAACCTCATATATCAAGGCTTCAAGTTATTAGTAATAATACGCTGGATAATACATTTCACAACAGCTGTGTGGCGCAGTCGGTCTATGACGGACTCCGAAGTAGAAGATATAGCTTTCGAATCCTGGTCTACCCATAATACATTTTGTGTTGCAAAGTAAATGCATTTATTTATTGGGAATAAATGGTTTGTTGTGTTTAATTAATCCACCTCTTGGTAGTTTTTCCTCCATTAATCACTTTCTGTAGAACTGTATTACTTTGGATGTGTTTGTTGTATCAACACAATTGACTGAAAGACTCAAATAGTTCATAGTTCATGAAGCATCATTTCAAACACAACACGTTAGACCATAGATTGTAAATATACATTTTAACATTAGATCTCACCAGTCATTGTAAGCACTTAAGAGTGTTATGTATTTCTTTGTCCACATGATGGCATAGTGGAGCATGATTCACCTCGAGCCTTCGACTCATGGGCCGAGTAATAGGCTGCGATCCCTCAAGGCTTCATGGGGCTTCATATTGCCATCACTAAACAGCGGTCTTAGGCACGTCGTTGGCGTGCACTGGAACCTGGTGATAGCCACGCACCTGGTCCACCTTAGAGAAGATAAAGGCACCAGACAAGCGAGCAGAGAATTCCTGAATATGCGGAATAGGGTAACGGTCGGGAGTGGTCACATTATTTAATCGCCTAAAGTCACCACCCATCCGCTTTAGGTACCATGTGTAGGGGCGATGACTACGGGCTGTTTGAGCGCCTCACTATACCTATATGCTCCACAGTTGCAAACTCCTCTTTAGCAATGACTAACTTTACTGTGTCGAGGCGCCACGCGCATGCAAATACAAGAGGACCGCTCGTGGAGGGTGAAATGCCCGCGAAAAAACAAACATTTGTTTGTCTAGTACCAAAAGTCCCCTTCGGAGAGCATTTTGCTGCCTTTAGAAGAGTACCTTTGCCGTGGCGCGATGCATCTGTGCCAGCAGGAGGAACCAAGCTCTTCTGAGAGCCTGATTCTATCAGAAACCTAAGTCCGGAACGAGAGTCATTATCAAAAAGCAGCTCACCTTGTTGACCAGTACCCACGGCTATACTGTATATATACTGTATATGTATTAATAAATGATTTGACTTTGACTTTTTGAGTTTGAGCATTTTTACTGTGGTATTTACTGTACTGTAGTATATTTACATGTATCAATACTTTATTTTACTATAATTTATTGACAATCTTTTACTTCCATTCTCCACAGTTTTCTGTTCTCTGGCTTTTATCTGGTCTCTTTCTCTGGTCTGAGACCAGGGATCAAAGAGAGAGAGACCAGTGGTCTCTCTCTCTTTGATCCCTATAGGATCTCCGTCTGATCTTGCTCTGGTTTCTCTCGGATCTCTCTCTCTTGTCTCGCTTGGATCTCCTTCTCTCTGGTATCTCTCTTTTTAGCGCCTGACATCCTGTTGATGGTACCTGGTGTTTGTGCTGCAGCCGTACCTGTCGGTGATGTTGAACCAGGGAGATGTGGAGGTGAGACTCTTCACTGGGACTCACACTCCTCGCATGGTCACCAGGCGTCTGGAACAGGGGATCCTCCATGACGGACGGGAGCACTCACTGCGCATCGAGAGGCTGCCAGGCAGGTGGGCTCTGACTTCAGCATCCCCTATGAAGACTGCAAAAATCAGACCATAAACCGAAAATATCTAACAAATCAGAATGTCCTATGATACAATATTGGCCAGTGTGCACCTTTTCATTGTCCTTGTGTACATGAATTACAGTTAAGTGTCTTCCAATCTGTCTATCTACTGTATCCAAGTGTGCCCGTCTATCTCTCTGACTGAGTGTATGCCTGTATCTATACTGTATATATCTCTCTGTCTCTCTGTCTGTTAGTTTGTCTACATTTTTAAGTGAATAGCTAAAATATGTATATTTCATAATATATTTTTACAGAATGTTCATAGTACCATTCCCCTATAGAACACTCGGAAGAATAAGTAAGTCAGTAGGTAGTCTTTATTTATATACCGCCAGAGTCAAAAAGCGGTTTACAATTGTGGGCATTTATCTTTTCACTCCAAACAGAGATGGGAGCGGGGTCTCCAGTACAGGAGGCGCATGCCAGACCGATTGTACATGTTTTTAGTGGTAGGGGAAACCGGAGTACCTGGAGGAAACTTACGCAGACACGGGGAGAACATGCAAACTCCACTCAGAAAGGCCCAAAACACCAACTGTACACGTCTCCTGTGTCAATCTGGTGTTGTTTCTGTCTGAGTCATATATCTGTTTATTGTCAACACAGAAGTCTTTTCAATGAAAATGTGTGTCTCAACCCTTACTTAACCCTTGCTGAAGAGGCGCTGAAGTAGCAGAAATCTCAAGAAAATTATTTTATTGATGTTATTAGTCCTCTATCTCTTATAATGTTTCAGAGTCCATCTTTTGTTTCTGGCGCCTAAAGAATGTTACATTGTTGTGTGTATTTTTGTTTATTTCAACGAAAGCACCAGAAACTCAGACAGAGAGGAGAAGGTCCTCCGAAAGTGTGCTTGTGGATGGGAGAAGGTAACGACGTTCAGGGGGTTGCGAATCCATCAGGGAAAGGCGAAGTGTGGCGGGAGAGGCCAACAGCAACCTTGCACTGCAGCAGCGGGTAAGACAAGAGGGACCACGAGCCGGGTCGAAAACCACAGTGCCAACGGACCTAATGCAGCTGAAGGCATAGGAGAAACAGAGAAAGAAGTCCCTTCCATGGACCCGGAGCCCCCTAGCGAACACCAAGACCCCACTCAAGCCATCCCACAAGGAAAAGAGCCACCAGCAGAGACCAGGGGACCAGCGAGAAGGAACACACTTAAATGGCCGAAGTTCTAACCAAGCAGAGGCATGGCAAACACTGGACGCAGACCTGATCAAGATCCTAGAGGGTAAATTGCGTGGAGGCGTCGAAGTCAAGCTCAATCAGTTTGGAGATGCCATATACCAGAGCTGTAAGGACAGATTTGGTGACATTATCCCCAAACGACGGTCTGCCCCAAGAGTGAAGGGGAGGAGGGAAAAAGAGATCACAGAGCTTGTTCAGAGACGACGACAGCTCCGCAAGAACTGGAGGAAGGCAGATTATCAAGAGAGAGAAGGCCTGAAAGTCCTTTGGGAAGAAGTGAGGCAAAGGCTAGCAAGACTCCGCCGAGCTGAACGCATCCGCAGGCGCAGTAAGCGGAAGCAAAAGGAGCGATCCAGCTTCTTCAAGGATCCCTTCAAGCATGCAAGACGGCTGCTAGAGGAGAAGAAGTCCGGAAAGCTCGAAGCCACTAGGGAGCAAATAGAACAGCATGCTAAAAGGCAGTACAGTGACCCGCTGAGAAACGTCCCTCTAGGAACACCAGGGTATGTGCCACGGCCTGGGCTGCCAACAGTCATGTTCAACACAATGCCCCCCAAGCTCAGCGAAGTCAGGCAAGTGGTGAGCAAGGCAAGGTCATCATCAGCACCAGGCCCCAATGGAGTTCCCTACAAGCTCTATAAAAACTGCCCTAAGGTACTAGAGCTACTGTGGTACCTAATGAGAACAGCTTGGAAAAAGCAAATCATTCCATCAGAGTGGCAAAGAGCTGTAGCAGTCTTCATTCCTAAAGAGGAAAACTCCAGAGACATTGGCCAATTCAGAAACATCGCCCTGCTGAATGTTGAAGGGAAAATCTTCTTCTCTGTACTGGCCGGAAGGATGACCGAATTTCTGCTAAAGAATGGCTATATTGATACCAACTGTCAGAAAGCAGGAGTTCCAGGGTTCCCAGGGTGCATTGAGCACTCGTCAATGATCTGGAACCAAATCCAGAGAGCCAAGAGGGAGAAGACCGACCTGCACATCGTCTGGCTCGACCTCGCCAACGCGTATGGATCAGTCCCACATCAGCTGATCAGCTACGCTCTGGATTTCTTCCATATGCCCCTCTGCATCAGGAACTTGGTAGCACTGTACTTCAGTGACCTGCAGATGTGTCTCGCCCTCCAGGACTTCACTACTGGGTGGCAACAACTGCAGGTGGGAATTGCTATGGGATGTGCCATTTCACCAATTCTGTTTGTCGCAGCCTTTGAGATCATTCTCATAGGGGCAAGGCAGATGGTGGGAGGGATCAAACTTTCATCTGGCCAGAGGCTTCCCCCACTGAGAAGCTACATGGACGATGTCACTAGTCTCCTCCAAACAGCAGCATGTACATCTAGGCTGCTAAAAAGGTTTGACGAGTTGATGTCATGGGCCAGGATGAAGGTCAAGCCCGCCAAATCCCGTAGTTTGTCACTCAGAAGGGGAGTCATAAACAACAGCACCACCTTTGTCGCCGGGGGAGAGAGAATCCCTCTTCTGTCTGAACAACCTATCAGAAGTTTGGGGAGGGAGTATTCTGCAGAGCTCTCTGATAAACAGATGGGGAGGACCGTCATGAAACAGCTTTCAGACGGCCTGGCAAGGATCGACCAAAGCGAGCTCCCTGGGAAATACAAGGTTTGGTGCTACCAATTCACACTCTATAGGAGACTGATGTGGCCCCTGACGATGAGTGAGATCCCCTCATCCACCGTGAGGAAGATGGATGGAAAAGCCAACGCCTCCATCAGAAAGTGGTTGGGGCTACCACGGTGCCTCTCTGACTCTGGCCTCTTTGGGAGGAACGCGCTGCAACTGCCACTGCAGTCCCTAAGTGTGGGCTACATGCAAGAGAAGGCCAGGCTGGTTCTCGAGCTGAGTCAGTCCACCGACGAGTCTGTAAGGAATGCAAAAGCCAAGGTTCCCACTGGCCGAAAGTGGAACGCAGAAGCAGAAGTGGGCCATGCGGTTAGCAGGTTGCAGCATCGAGAGATCGTGGGCAGAGTCCAGGCAGGAAGAGCAGGTCTAGGGTGGGGAGAGGCACCACGGTTCTGGTCAAAGGCCACTCGCAAGGAGAAGAAGGAGATGGTGGTGGCAGAAGTGACGAGGATGGAGGAAGAGCGCTATAAGATCAAGGCCGTCTCACAGGGCCGGCAAGGAAGATGGACAACTTGGGAGGGAGTTGTCGACCGCAATATCAGTTGGTCTGACCTGTGGAAGATCCCGCAGGCGAGGCTCAGCTTCCTTATCCGTTCAACCTATGACACGCTTCCCTGTCCTCGTAACCTGCACCAATGGTTTGGCAATGAGGAATGCTGCTCACTCTGTAACGCTCCCAACGCAAGCCTTCAACACATCTTGTCAGGCTGCAAGATTGCGCTCTCCCAGGGACGCTACAGGTGGCGCCATGACCAGGTCCTCAGGAAGCTCGCCGAGGTCCTGGAAAGGTGCAGACAGGGTAACAAACAGCTACCACCAGCAAAGAGCCACACCAACTTTGTCAGGGAAGGGGATGGGCAAAGTTACACCAGGCCAAAAGAGACATCGCGGCCCTTTGCCCCCAACCAGGAGTGGGACATGAGGGTTGACCTTAACAAACAGCTCCAATTCCCCACGGAGATCACCATCACATCTCTCCGCCCTGACATTGTGGTTTGGTCTTCAGAGGCAAAAGTGGTGCATCTCATTGAACTCACAGTTCCATCAGAAGGGGAGATCGAGGCTGCCTACGAGCGCAAGAAGGCCAAGTATTCCGAGCTGGCTGCAGAGTGCCGGGAGGCTGGATGGAAGGCCGCCATCTACCCTGTTGAAGTTGGCTGCCGAGGCTTCGTGGGGCTGTCAATGATACGGCTCTTGAGGGATGCAGGAGTCACGGGGGGAAAGCTGCGCAGGGCCACAAGAGAGCTTTCGGAGGAGGCGGAAAAGGGCAGCTTCTGGCTCTGGTTGAGGAGGAAGGATAGGAGTTGGGGAAAGTATAGCTAACCTCAATGACAGCTGCGGGGGATAACATTCTCCAGCTGCAGGGAGTGACAAGGAGACGTCCTTGTCACTGCTCCGCCACCATGAGACGTTCCAAGATTAAAGGGGCGAAACGTTGGTGATTGGTGGTTCCTGGCTGATGACCCTGCAGCTGACCCTGCAGCTGACCCATGGGCACCGGAGGAGGTGCGACAGGCAGCAATGCTAAGCAGGAAATTACATCCACCTGTATACATCAATCTAAACCAATGGCTTTTGATGTGGTCTATCTTTTACTTCTTGCCAGATCCTTTGCAGTGCAGGTGGATGAGGAGACAAAGAAGGAGATGGGTCTGCCCAATGACCAACCCGTGGTTTTCCAGAGGGTGTTCCTGGGGGGTATTCCAACAGAAGTGGAGCAGGCCTCCAACAGAGTCAACGTGCCATTCAAGGGCTGCATCTGGAACCTGATGGTCAACTCTGTGTAAGTATCACATACAATAATCCAATGAGCATGGCTAACATCTGTTTGTTACTCTTGTTTCATGTGCCTTCCTCATCACAAACGTACACATTTTATTTTGGAAAGACAAATACAAAGTAATAGACATCTTTAAAACGAAAGCAAAATCATACATGATAATAACAGCAACCTGTCGTGGGGCTGCTGTGGATGTATAGAAATACAGAGCAATCTTGGAGCTGCTGAAGCCTGCACACAACTTGGTGGATGTTTCTCTGTCATCAGGGCTATTTCTCTAAACATAGACTTTTCAAACTCAGGGATGATTTAAAACAAAACATTCATGTCACCCTCCTCGACCCCATTCTCTCTCCCCTCTCTCTGGGTCCAATATTCTCTCAAAAAAGAGAATTGGCCAAATTGTCAAATTGACCCGCCACAGTGATTAAAAAAATACCCTTAATATATTTATCTGGCTGAATTTTGACGTTTTTTTTCTAACTTGACCAGCCCTGGGCGTTTTACTTTTAATAACTGTAGCGGGTCATTTTGACCCGATAGCACAAGGGTTGAGTTGCAGAACCTTTGTGACCACGTGTGACAAATGAGCCAAAGGCTGATTATAAATACACTATGGTTCCATTGTAAATATTTGAAGAAAGAAAGCATTTCCAATGATGTTACCAGATCGCTGTTGTGCTTCGATCCGGGCCCCTGTTCCTAATGCTAATGGAATTGGATGAATCTATTCAGATCAAATTATCTCCCACAGAAGTGCAACTGGTCACTTCAGAAGCTGTATGTGTGATGGACTCAGACTGTAGGGGCCCCTGACATCGCCACATTAATCAGAGGGTTAGGGCTAGGGGTCAGAGCTATAGTCATCTTCAGGATTTTGCGTCCAGCCAGAACATAGAATCCGCACTATTTCACCTGTATCAGTCTGTGGTCTCGGGTTAGGTATAAGTCTGTGGTCACCTGTATCAGTCTGTGGTCACCTGTGTCAGTCTGTAGGCCTCTCTCAGACCTCTCCCAGATCTTTTCTCAGGGCTGTTTCAGACCGGTCTCAGACCTCACTCACACTTAAAAAAGTGATGAATACTAAAAAATTAAAATATGGCAACATGTACTATATCTTCATTTGAGCACATTTTGACAGCCTCAAAACAAGATTTCCCAAACAAAATTATCTTTAAAAAAAGATACAAGAAATGTCTTTGGAATGAGAAAACAAACAGTTCTTGAAATAAGACTAAATGGCTTGACCCATCGGCAAATCTTGTTTTAAAACAAACAGAACGTACTCAAATTAAGATAAAAACCACTCCGTTCAAACTATTTTGACCTTATATTTTATCATTTTTTGCAGTGCAGACCTGCAGGCCTCTCTCAGACTTGTCTCAGACCTGTCTAAGACATCACTCAGAACTCTCTCATACCTGCCTGTGGTCCCCTGTCTTGTTGTGCTTGTTCTCCTCTTCTTTAGATTGCATCAGCTCTGCGGTCAGAGTTCTAGATGTGATGATGATGATGGAGGTTGAGTCCTTTGCGTCTACAGCAGTAATCAACCTGTCAGCCGTCATAAACCTCCTCATAACTCTGCTCTCACACACTTCCAGTTTACCTGATTTCACCCCATACATTAGCTGCTGCCTGAATGCAAGTGTGGATATTTCCTGGTCCTGATCCTTTTGAATGATAAAACAATAAAGTCTTCTACTCGAAACAGTGGTCTGGGTGTGTCCCGTACCAACAGGGCTTTTTGGGTTTTAATGCTTTTATCCCAGACTTTTCACTGTGGTGCTGACATTTACACACCATATTTTGAATAAACAATCGTGTCAATGTTGTGATCCATGCATATATTACAAGTGGGTTATCTAACAAAAAATATCTTTGTGTGTAATACTTTTCATCTAAGTAGTCCTCCACTCTCAAAACCTGGACCTCACTAGGTGTCTGTGTACGTGCGTATGTCTGTTTGTGTGCATTTGTCTGTCTGTGTGCCGCCGTGTGCCTCTGTGTGCGTGTGTGTGTATGTATGTGCATGCAAAAACAAATATAAATACTGAATTTATCTATTTATTTAATTTGTATTATTTGGAAGAAAATTAATTATTAAATGCCTTGTGACCTTTGAAAAAGACACTTTCCCCACATTAGAGTGAGTCTGGTGTGTGTGAATGGTTGGTGGTGGTGGGCGGGGCCAATGGCACAGACTGGTTGTCTCGCTTCTGTTAGTGTGCCCCAGGGCAGCTTTGGCTACATTAGTAGTTTATCACCACTGCTTTTGGAGGTAATGCTGTGAAGTTACTTTGAATGTCCAGAAAATATCTGTATAAAACCAATGCATTATTAAAATTTTTATGACAATCTTAAATAACGGCTCACGGGAATAGGACCACATTTAAATAAATAGAACAGATGTATTTAAATAAAGATTGGACCAATATGAAATATTAGAGGCAGAAGAAAAAGCCCTAGATATACAGTATGTGGTATGTAGTTTAGCAGGTCCTTCAGACTTGACTTCTCATGGAGGATTTGACATGTGACCATGTTTTATTACAGTTGAGTAGTGAACTACTAAAATATTAGAAAGATGTACTCATGTTGTATTGAAAAGTATATATTGGCAAAAGTTTTGGCTAATACTAGTGGTGTGTCTCCTGCAGGCTGTCGGACTTCTCCCAGCCCTTGTCCTTTGTGAACGCTGATATTGGAAGGTGTCCCAGCCTGGCTCCTGTGCCTCCCCCTCCTCCCCCTCTTCTGCCTGAAACCACTGCCCCCGCTGTTGTTACTCCAGGCCCCATGGTGAGTCGGTCATACACTGTGACAGTGCTACCTCCGAAATTGGATCCAGCACCTCTGCATGTGTGCATGATCAAAATACGTTTATCAAAAACAAATACCCAGGTAGGCAAAATAGCACTTCTCAATCAAAGTTGGTAAAAATAAATAAAATGGTCTAGAAATCATTTGGGTCATGAGTCTAATCAAAGGTGCAGTATGTAAAAATCGGGCCAAAAGTGGCACTGCACTCTCCCTGACTCAGGTTGCCAGATATGCAGACGAATCCAGCTGGGACCATAATAGTTGAATAGACAAGAGTTTTGTCAACAACAAATCTATAACCAACACCTTTTTCACAAAGGCCCGATAGAAATCCTCGTTTTAATTCTTTGTTTTGTCATTAATGATTTGAGAATTATAATGTGACCTTTCTGTTATCAGAAGAGTTCAGAACTACTGTTATCAATTCAAGACATATTGAATAATATATTTTGTTATATGTTATATTTCTTAGTCGCGTCAGTGCTTTGCTTTTTGTCACTGTCAGTGTTTCGAAGCGTTGCATTGGATCAATGAGTTTCTCGGCTCCTCATTGGTTCAGAGCATTGTTGCGTTGCTGCAGTAGGATCACTTTCTTGACATAGTTATGTGAGAAGATTAAATGGTATGAATTTTAAACCCCATATGGAACGTGAGTTAACAGTCTATGGAACTGACTAGATAGAAATTCAGGTGTCAACTAGCAGCAAAACAAAAATAACAAAAATTGATCATTCTAAAAAGCTAACAATAGTAATAATAAGAAACAGCCCTTCAGGTCACAGCAGCAGAGGTGATGTAGCCTCTGGGTGGAGCAGGACAGGTTGACTACTGCTATTGTTTTATGTAGAAAATAAAACATGAACAAAAAGTACAATTTTACTGCAGTTTCTGCAGCTACTCTGTCTACACTACGACAATAAAGAAATGTTGGAATGAACACACACTGCTCTGAACACAAACTACTCTGTCTACACTACGGCAATAAAGAAATGTTGGAATGAACACACACTGTAGATGACTATACAGCAGCTGTTTGAGGAAAGAGTACTATATCTCAGGGCTTTTACCCACAGTTCATAGGGAGCCTGTGTGCTGCTGTGTTAGCTTAGCGCTCCATCACCCACACTGCCACAGCCCATTAACTTTTTTTTATGGTGCCTTTAGCCTTGAGCCACTAAACTCCACCTTTGGCAGAGTGTCATAGAGCACGCCGGCACCCTGATACGCTAGGCTAACGGAGCGTGCCATCTATGCTTTATGAGCCAGCGGCAGCCAAAACACTCACTGCTAACATTTAGCCCCAACGCTAAGAGCCCGGCTGTGATTCTCCATCACCTTGGTGACAATGGCAGAGATGTATGTCATACTTTTACTGCTGTAGACTTAATAGTTACCTAATGTAACTTAAGTTCTACGAATAGGTGCGTAGTCCCTTAGGACTTCGCTAGTGGGATATCACTCGTGACCCCCAGTTCACACGCCAGAATGATCAAAATAATTTGCTCCAATCACCAGCCACCCTCCTCTATAAAGGCCCCTGCACACAGCCGCACCCCCTCTTGAACTCTGCCAAGCCGGGCTGGCCTGATGGGCTCGTAGCTAAGGGACTACGCACCTATTCGTAGAACTTAAGTTACATTAGGTAACTATTAATTCTACGTCATGGTGCTACGTCCCTTAGGACGTCGCTAGTGGGACACAACGCGGAGGCCGTAGGAACATGTACTCCCAGCAGGCCAGTGAAGGGTGATTGGAGCTCCGCCCGAGCAAGACCCTCACACAATTAGAGGACTCAGGGCAGAAGAAACAAATGCGTGTTACAGGGCCACTCCTACCAAGGATACCCCCACGTAACACAGACCGTAGGTCACCCGTAGTCCCAGGACGCCTCTCCCAAGAGCTCCTGACGTGGACTACCTGACCGACCAAACACACATATAAGTACCGCACCTGTAGGATGCCACTCCCAAGAGCTCCTGAACCAGGGCGGAAAGTCAACCGAAGGCCCCCTCAGAGGAGGGACCTAACGGTCTAACTCAGTCCGCTGCACTCAGCACGGAATGGGCCACCGACCGGTCCGACACATCCAAAAGATAAGACCGGACAAAGAAAGAAGAGGACGACGCCCAAGAAGCCGCACGGCAGACGTCCTCGACCGACGCCCCCCTGAGGAGGGCCGTAGAGGCCACCACCCCACGCGTGGAATGCGGCCTGAAGCCCACCGGGGGGGCCAGACCCTGCGTCTGATACGCCCGCCGCACAGCCGTGGCGACCCAGTGCGCCAGGCGCTGAGCCTACAGCAGGGCGCCCCTGTTCTTGGGGCCCAGACACACAAACAGCTGACCACCCAACCTGAATGACGACGTCATGGCCAGGTAATGCCTCAGCATTCTGACAGGACACAGAAGGTGCCGCCGCTCCTCCTCGGGGGAGGCATGCGGTGGCGGATAGAAAGCCCTAATCCTGATGACTCTCGACCTAAAGGCCGACGTGATGACCTTGGGGACAATTCTACCTGAAAGGGCCGTCTAAAAGCGACACACTCGGGACTCGCCTCCGCCGCCGTTCAAAGGCGACCCGAGCCCCTTGGGACCACCTGAGGTCCCAAATTCCACCTGCGCGCCCCCGCAGAAACGTTTAACCATGAGAACGGCTGTGAACCCCGAATCCGTCGTGACCCAAGTAATGGCTGCCGCGAAAACCGCCAAGGTGGCGACAGCCCTCCCTTTGTCAAAAAGCTCCTGTAGGAATCCCAGGACCCCCTCCAGCGGGCAACGCCTGGGATCCCAGGAACGAGAACCGCACTAGTCGTTGAAGAGCCTCCACCTCGTGGCGTAGGCCCTCACAGTGGACGGCGCCCTCGCCCCCTGAATGGTCTCCACCACCGCAGGGGGAAGACCCAGGTCTACGAGGTTCCGCCTCTCAGCCTCCAAACCCAGAGCCTGCGGCCGATTATCGGGCGTGAAAACAGGGCTCCCCCCCCTGGACTAGAGCCCCCGGCTCGTCCGGGAGGGCCCAGGGCTCCATCACCGCCATGCCCCTCAGGAAGGAGAACCACCGGGCATGCGCACTGTCCGGAGCCACCAGGATCACCGACCTCCTCTCCTGTTCGATCCTCCGCAGCAGGACCGGCAGGAGACGCACTGGTGGGAAAGCGTACAGCAGGCCCTTTGGCCAGGGGTAATGAGCCAGAGCGTCCACGCCTAGGGGCGGCTCGTCCGCTGCACTTAAGGCGAACCAGGACGGGCACTGTGCGTTTCCTGCACTGGCGAAAAGGTCGACCACTGGACGGCCGAACCTCCGCCAGGTCTCCGCAGCTACCCGTGGGGCCAGGCCCCACTCGTCCTGGAGTGGGCCCCCCCTGGACATCCTGTCGGCCCCCACGTTCCGGACCCCCGGGACGTGGCGCGCCCTGAGAGACAGGAGGTGAAGCGCCGCCCACAGCAGCGTCACCGTCGCCATGCGATGGAGAGCGGGGGACCTGGTGCCCCCCTGCCTGTTCAGATAGAAGACCACTGTGGTGTTGTCTGAGCGCACCATCACGTGTCTCCCCTGCAGCTGAGGAGCAAAGTGCAGCAGTACCCTGTGCACTGCCTCCATCTCCAGCAGGTTGATGTGACGGGCTTAGTCCGACCAGCAGCCTCCTACAGAGCTCTGGCCGAGGACCCCGCCCCATCCTTCGAGTGACGCGTCCGTGAACACCTCCACGTGAGACACGGTGCAGGCTAGAGTCACTCCGTCCCGCAATAGACCCGGAGTGAGCCAGAACCTGATGTCCGATGCTGCCACTTGGGGAACTCAGATCAGCCTCCCCCCGTCCCGGGAGGGGTGAAGCCTGAGGCGTGAGAACCACCTCTGAAAATTCCTCATGTGGAGAAGGCCTAGCCGCACCACAGCATGAGCGTCTGTCAGGTCTATGGAGGACATCCAATCTCCCTGCCTGACACACTCGAGGAGCTGCTTTGTGGGCAGCATCCGGAACTGCCGTTTGCACTCGTTCAAAACGCGCGGATCCAAAATGGAACGCACCCCGCCTGACTTCTTTGGCACTAAGAAGTAAGGGGAGTACAGCCCCCTGGTGGCGTCCTGCGGGTCTACCTCCACTGCTGCGCCTCGACTCAGCAGGGAGGAGACCTCCGCTTGTAGTGCCTCTAATGATCCCCGTACCTGAGAGCGTGCTGCCCGTACGCCTCGGAATGGTGGTGGCTTTCGGGAGAATTGCAGTGCGTAACCCCTGCGCAATGTTTTCTCCAGCCATAGATCTGTCAGCAAACCTTTCTCCCTCCAGATGCTGTAGAAGTCTGTGAGGGGCGGAACGGGAGCTGGAACACGAGACGTCACGGCCCCGCCCTCTCCTGGTGTTCCTCGCAGGGAGGGGGGGTGGACGAAAGGGCCGGGGGGCCCCCTGCGTCACACCGTGAGCGCCGGGGGCGGTCACGTGTCCTGCAGGCCCGACGTCATAAGTACGGGACTGCTCATCCCACGTGACTCGGCTGCTGTGCCCCCCCCTGGCTCTTGCCTCATGGAGGGGGGGGCGAGCCCCTGGAGTGGGAGACCCCGTGTTAGCCTAGTAGCTCAAGAGATGCTAACACGCGTTCGGCCGAAGCACACACATCACTACTCACCAGATCCCTCCGCCTGACCTCTCTCTGGGAGGGCATAGCATGAACCAGAGAACCGGAGCTTGTAGCTCGCGTAGCGCACTGCAAACCCTGCTCTGGGGGCTGCAGGCCTAGCGAAGCAACGTTATGTGCTCGAGAAGTAACACAATCAGAATTCACAAGATTATTTGACATGTTACATACCCCCAAATCAGACTCTAGAAACGAGTAATGATGAAATGCCGGTCGGCCTTTATTGAAGGAAAACTTTCCACCCCGACCACCTCTGCCATAGGGAGGTCGGCGGTGGGTGCGTTGCTCCCGCGAGCCACCCGTGGGTCTGTCTGGACCCGGGGGCCTCGTCGAGGGGGGACGATGGACAACAGAGCGCGGATACGGGTCAGGATGCCTCCCGGGCGAACGCTCTCTGCCTCTGTCCCGGCTCCGTGATGGTTGGTGGGCCTCGCGCCTCGGTGCTAGGTGCGGGGCCAGCCTAGCCGAGTCGTTGGCTGCAGACTCCGGTGCGGGGCTAGCCTAGCCGAGTCGTTGGCTGCAGGCCCACCAGGGCCTGCAGGGTCTGCATGTCCGGGCCGAAGAGGGACGTCTGAGAGATGGGCAGGTCCAGCAGCTGCCTCTTCTCCGCCTCCCTGATATTAGCCAGCCCAAGCCAAAGGTGCCTGGCCCCGACTTGGGCTGCAGCCATGGAGCGGCCACCGTCCACGGCTAGCGTCTGGCACATGCGCAGAATCGCCGCCGAGGTGGTCCTCGCCTGTGACAGGAGGTCTCCACTGAGCGCCTGGCCAGAGGAGAGCGACCTATTCAGGGCCCCCGTGATGAATGCCATGTTGTTAGCCAATGCGAGGACCTGTGCCGCATTGGCATAACATCTATCCAGCATCGCCACGACATCCTGTCCCGCTCGGAGGGAAAGAGAGGTCTGGTGCCGGGCCACACGGATGCGGAGGGCTGCAGGGCCATGCGGACTGAATCCTCGGTGTCCGGGCCACCATCCACGGCTAGCGTCTGGCACATGCGTAGGATCGCCGCCGAGGTGGTCCTCGCCTGTGACAGGAGGTCTCCACTGAGCGCCTGGCCAGAGGAGAGCGACCTATCCAGGGCCCCCGTGATGAAAGCCATGTTGTTAGCCAATGCGACACCCTGTGCCGCATTGGCATATCATCTATCCAGCATCGGCAAGACATCCTGTCCCGCTCGGAGGGAAGGAGAGGTCTGGTGCCGGGCCACACGGATGCGGAGGGCTGCAGGGCCATGCGGACTGAATCCTCGATCACCGGTCCAGGACCAGTCCTGCCCGCTGCAGTACATGTCGTGCCCCAGAGCAGGCCTCTTGGCTGCTAGGGGCTTTGGCCACTCACGTGTTGCGTAATGGACGAACGGGTCCATCCGCGGGCACAACGTGGGTTGTATCCTCCTCCTCCCTCGAGTGGTGGCGCCCACAGAGGTGAAGTCCTCCACCGTCTGGATCCAGCGATGACGTCCGACGCCGGAGGGCGAAGGGAACTCGGACTAACAAGGAAGACATCTCAGAAGTAAGTACTGTGGTAGATCTCAAACGGCGCCAGAGTGAAAGAGGGGGTGCGGCTGTGTGCAGGGGCCTTTATAGAGGAGGGTGGCTGGTGATTGGAGCAAATTATTTTGATCTCTCTGGCGTCTGACCTGGGGGTCACGAGTGATAGTTCCCACTAGCGAAGTCCTAAGGGACGTAGCACCATGACGTAGAATCTGACCACATTCACTGGTGTGAATGTAACTGGCACACCCAGTTAGCCGCTAAACTGCTCTTCTAAAACATCATTGGTCATGAAGGTGATGTCACACCACAGTATAGTATATACACCTCTTATCTCAGGAGGGATTTTATTTGTTTTATTATTTGAGAATATTGATATTGATTGAATAATGATTGATTGATTTTGTGACATGTGATGAACATGGGATATTCAGTATATTTATTCATGTGGTTTAATTTCTGAAACTGGTGGAAACAGTGTTTTTGTGAGGAGTGTTTTGGTGCTGTTTCCAGTTATGTCTCGCTGGAAGAGCAACACGTTTGGAAAGGCCTGGTCTGAGGGGGGGCAGAAAAATATAAGAATTATATTCTTCTTTCTGATCACGAAAATGTTTGAATTCATTGAAGAAAACGTGTGCCAAGTATCACGTGTTACTTGATACTTGTACAACTATGCATTTTCATGAAAAGAATAAAAATAAACTAACCTAACCTAACCATTAATGCCACCAGAATGCAGACTTTTACAGATGTGTTTTGTTCCCTTTCTGCAGAGGAGCACTCCTGCTGCTGTACCTGTGGGCCCCTCACCTGCTTCCTCAGAGCCAGGCCCTGAGACGGTATGTGCAGATTCATTCACACATACTGTATTCCTCATCAGGACCAGAGACTCAGCAATGAACGTTCAGCCTTTCCCATTTGGTTTTGTTGTTGGCATCTGATTTACTCCACACCATTACTGTAATTGGACGGGTAATGTCCTGTCCACCCTCCCTACTCCAGCTCTTTATGGCAAAATGGAAATCTCCATGAAGGAGATGGTTGGCACTTGGATGCAGGCACTTCCTTACTACACCATAAAGCACAGGGCTCTAAATTAACTCCAGCTCTGTAAGACTACTGTGTGCTTAACCTGCATCTACAGGATGGGAATGGAATCAATGCTCACATTTTTAAACACATTGTAGAGATTGGTTGGTTCTTGTGTAGTGTGTACAACCTCAGAATTACAGAATTTGTGAGTTTTGTTCCTGTTTTGACCACTTTTTTACAGGAGGGGGTTTAAAATATGTTTTATGAACCGGGATGCATGGAAATGTTCTGAGCATTGGTAGCTGCGTCGTAAAACTCCTGCAATTTGTGTTGGTGCGTCTGGCTGTGAATCATGTCATAAAGTTAAGCAGGCGGAGAACAAGGCAACGTTTATAGACTGTTGTGATGTCCTTATTATATCCCAATGAATGCACAAGTCCTCCTCTTTGGGAAGCAGCTATTTATATGCATGTCTATGTATCCACAGTATATATGAGTGTGTGTAGTGTACGTGCGTGCATGTGCGTGCATGTGCGTGCATGGGTGTGTGTATGTGTGTGTGCGTGTGTGTGCTTTATCAGTCTTGCTTGATGGGAATGACTACTATGGCATGTTTTATATTATTCAATTCAATTCAATGTATTTGTGTATTGCTCTAAATCACAACAGCTATGGTCGTGGAGGGCTTTACTGTACAAAGTTGTGGATTCACCAACAACAGATCAGACAATCAAACAGTTCCTACACAGGAAATGCAATAATAACAAACACTTTGGAGCCATTGGTAAGACACTCATTGGTTTGTTCTAGTGTTACTACACTTTTGAAAATGAGAATCACTTGGCTCGGAGTTCCACAAGACAGAAATGGGTGACCTGATTTGATCATTTGAAAAAATAGTGTGAGAAAATCAAAACATTCAAAGATCAAATAGAAAACCGATTTAACAATATTCACAGAAATTAATTGCATGGATACAAACCTGTAGGTTATAGCCAGATCCTGTCAGGTCTCAGGGGCTAAGCAGGGCAGGGCCGTGTTAGAACTGTGATGGGAGACCTCTGGGAACATCAAGTGCCACAATGGGGTGGTTGTGTGTGCATGCACGCATGTGTACCACCACAAAGTGAATTAACTTGTAATTATTACATGTCTATGAAAAAAAATTAATAAATTTAATGTTACAAGTTGCTCACCACAGCAGGTGAAGTGTTTTGAATCCTAACCTAAGAGGAAATGTACAGAACAGATGTGACCAGAAGATACAGTATGTTGTTGGAACCACAGACAGACTATATCCGGAAACATAGAGGTTTAAATATATGTAACTGTGCTGTCATCTGCTGTTGAGGATGAGAACTGCAAGCTTGACATAGTGAGTTTTGTATTGTCATCTGTGTACCAAATATGATCAATAAAATCATGTTCTTCACAACTTTTCAGATTCATCCACCTCCCATAAGTGTTCCAGGTTCCTTTGCAGTCACCTTTTGCCTTGAGTGTCATCTACTGTGTCCACTGACGAGTTGCCAGGAGCAGAGGATCTAACGTGTGTGTGTGTGTGTGTGTGTGTGCGTGCGTGCACGTGTGTTTGTGTGTGTGTGTGTGTCCACCTGCAGGACGTCTGTGCCTCTGCAGTGGTGCCATCAGCTCTGGACCAGGCTCATCAGTTTGGGCTGAGCAGGAACAGCCACATGAGCTTCAGTTTTGACGACACTAAAGTCAGAGAGAGGTCAGACACTGCTTCTGTTATAACTCTTCTCATTTACCCACTCAAGAATTGACTCAAAATTATTATTAGTGATATATATAAATAATATTGTAACAACCCAGTGGTTCCCCACATATTTAACTTTATACTGAAGTATAAGTCCAGCCTTTCTTTCTTAATTCAGGCCAAAATACGGGCCCACATATAGATTTAGGTTTTGAAGAGAAGCCATTGTTTGCCTTTATAATCCCTATTGCTGGTTGTGTGAACAGTCTAGAGGCGCCTGTTCTGTGTGAGGAGCTCAGGTTCCTGATTTGTCCGACTGTTATTGCTTTGCTTTAAATGTCACTCAGTTTGGTTTAGTAAGTAAGTAATGTAGCGCATTTTACAACCAATTTTACAAACCAAGGTCACCCAAAGCACTTTACAATGTTCAGATAGTTGTTTGTTTTTTTCAAACACTCTTAAGTGCCTACAATAAATGGTGTATCTGAGACATCTGCAGTTGATCTACAATGATATTATACAAAAACAAGATTGCTCCAAAGTAAAGTAAAGTAATAGCTACCTGAGTCACAATTGTCATTGTATGCTACAAGCGATAATACATGTATTATACTGTAAATAAATGAGAGGTTGATGATGGTCAGGACAGGCAGTATAGATCCCAGAGAAGCACAGAGATATAAACATCCTGTATTAATAATGTGCAGATGAAACAGGTCCGTGTTTTGGACTGGACCTCGCTGTGGAAAGAGAGACTGACAGCTATTGCCCAGTTCTGTAGTGTGGATTTAAAACGGCTTCATTCAAATGATCAAAGAAGTGGTCAATATCTGATGAGAATGTAACACTAGAACATTGTGCAATGTAGATGCAACATGTATATGTCATTATAATGTGGTTTTGTTGTACAGGTTGATATTGGAGTTTGACCTGAGAACGACAGAGAGCTCTGGCCTCGTGCTGTACATGGCCCGCATCAACCACGCTGACTTTGTCACCATCCAGGTTCAGGACGATCAGTGCATTAGTGAAGGAGCTCGTATTGTGTTTGCTCATTATGTGTTTGTTTGCAGATTAAAGAAGGGCAGGTGTGCCTCGGGTATGACCTGGGCCACGGGAACATCTCAGGCTGTGTGCCCTTCTCCATCAATGACGGCAACTGGCACAAGGTCAAGTCTGATGTTGTCATGCTGGTGTCATATCATTATTCTATCTTTAATTCTTTTTTATTTACAAAACATTTCGAAAAGTCATACATTTTTTTAATTCTTGTGATTTGTACATTCTTGGTAAAAGGGAGCTCCCAGCTGCATTAGTTTATAGGTTATCTTCTTATCCACACCTAGCTTGAGGCTTAGAGCAGGGGTCCCATACCCACGGACCAGGGTCCAGGTCTGGACCCTGAGAGCCTTTTCTTTGGACCCCCGTGATTTTTTGTTCAAATTTAGTAAAATACTTTGTTACAAGTATAATATGCAGGCGCGAGGGTGGCTAATGGAAACAGCTAACAGTTTCCACAGCAGCTCCTCTGGCCCAGTCAAGAGTCTCTGAAAGCAGCTCCTCGACTGGCCAGATGGATCGGTCTTTGGCCTCCCTGCTCTTTTGGCAGAAACACACAATCCAAACCGCGGCAGTGTCCACAACCCTGGGTGCAGGGTCCTCTATACAGCCTCCAGGCTGTGGGCCTCCAGTAGCCACCTCAGCCTGAGATAGGGGGCAGAGTGGGGCTTGTGGGGGTTCTGGTCCAGCTGTGGCTCTACTGTACAGTTCCAGTCACCTGCCACAAACAGAATGTCCCCAGAGTTTGTACACTTCCTAATACACTCCCACAAAGAGTCCATCATCAGCAGCATGGGGCATGGGGCGGAGCAGTTGTATCAGGGTCAGAGGGAACCTCCACAGTGGGCTTTGCAGACGCGGACCGCTCTGGGAGGCGCTGGGAGCCAGGGCGCGTCTGCCATTGGCTTCGCTGACTCTGTACTGGACTCGGTAGTGTTTGGAATCTGTGTGTCATTAGGTCGCGCATTCGGATCCACTCACTCTGGACAAGGCCTGATTAATCGATTAAACATTTCATTGTTTCTGACGTTGCAAAAATCACATAATTGAACCCATCCACCATAAAGTTGAATTAAAAGTTAAGGTCAGTGCAGTAGTCCTTAAGCACCATCACTTGTCAACAATGGCACACAAGCCGCAATTTACATCCAAGAGACATCATAGTTTGTCCGAAGCACGACAGTTGATGACACTGCAGAACCTCATACTCCCACACACAGATACACAGTAATTCAGTGAGAAATATGTGGAAAAAGCACAAAAAACCACAATATGCAAGGGGAAGGGGAGAAGAGACGTCGCGTGGATGCCGCCTTAACCGTGTCAGAAAGACTATTAAAGGAAAAGTCGCTACTTGACAAACTTAAGTGCAGTGTTCAAAATTGTGTATTCATCCCATTGATTAAATCTATTCGTAATATCTACACTCCACATTTCTGAATGGTGGGTTTTGTTCTCTTTTCATTACAGATCCGTGTGAATCGCCAGAAGCAAAGAGCCGTTCTCTCAGTCGATTCCAAGTATATGAAACAGCTGATCAGTCCAAAGAAGGTCCAGAACTCTTCATGATGAATGTGTGTACAGTTGTCCAACCTAAGATGAATGAGTTTGTGTGTATGTGCATGTTGTGCGCAGGCCGATCTGCTGGATGTGGTTGGTGTGGTTTACGTGGGCGGTCTGCCTCAGAACTACAGCTGCCGCAGGATCGGACCGGTGAGAATATACACACCAGAGAACCTATGAACCAGGGAAATTATGAAGTACTGTGGTCAGAACCTCCGGTCTGACCCTCCCTGTGTGGTGCCTCAGATCCTGCACAGTCTGAACGGGTGTGTGCGTGGCTTCACCATGCACGGCAGTGCGGTCAGCAGTCAAGTGGAGAACCTCAGTCTAGACATGGAGACCCCCTCTTCCAGACACTTGGTGGGCCGCTGCTTTGTGTCCACAGAACCAGGAACCTACTTCCAGGGGACAGGATACATGAAAGCAGGTGAGAAACAACAGAGTTTGTATGAGGAGTGGACCGAGTGTGACGTCCTCATAGTGTTAGCCTTAATGCAGAAGGCAAATTTGAACATACAGTAGGTATTCGTTCTGAAGGTGATGGATAGCTTCCATAACAGGAGAAGATGTTTTGCTAAGACGGTTACTAAGGCAAGCTGGTCAATCCTTTTATGGCTCACATTTGGATTTACAAAGATGTTTCATCACACATATTTTTTTATGTAAAAGCTTTTAACAAATGAGTGTTTACAGAGTACTTTCCAGTGGTTTATGAACAACATCGACAACAAAGAAGTTGCTCTCTCCTGTCATCTCGCTGTGATCACTGTGAATTGACTGTAATCTGACTGGGATCTGACTAATATCACCTGTGTCCTCTCTGCAGTGGCCTCGTACAGAGTGGGGCAAGACGTCTCCATTTCTTTGGACTTCCGCACCAGCCGTTCAGATGGAATTCTGCTTGCCGTCAGCAACAAGGACAGAGACGGACTGGGACTCGAGTTAGTGCAGGGGAAGGTAAGCATCATGACCTCACGGCACCGTGGCTGAGTGGTTAGCACTCTCACTTCTCATCAGAAGGTTCCCGGACAGGGCCTTTTTAGGGGAGTTATTAGATTATATCGACCAATGACACAGATGTTTGCAGATTTAACAATCTACACATGTATTATGGCGGAATACACAGCTCCTAAACCTGCAAATGCACACACAGATCCATAATTTTAAAGGTAAGAAACTGTAGAATATTCATCATCCAGGTGACTTCAGCTCCACCAAAAGTAAAGCATTATGTTCATCCAGTTGGCAAACCTGTTTCATAAATATATATTTATATTGGTCAATAATGAGGTAATCAGCAAAACTACAAAAAAAGGTAAATAAGTCCATCCATAATCTTTATGCCTACATGTATTAAGCATGTATGTTTATTTATTTTCTATGTGATGTCTATCATATATGGACCTTGTGTCTGTAATAAAGTTTACCTTACTAAAATAAATAAGCAGATAAACTCAACAGTGTCTGATTTAAAGTAATAGAATAATGATGACCAAAGCCCCCAACAATCAGCGAGTCTCAGTGTGACCAATATTAAACACCGGGCCGGGGTTCGCCCGTGCCTTCTTTTATGGAGTTCTCTCTTTTGAAGACTTGTTTTTACACTACTGAAAAGTGTCTGTATGCAACTTGCAGCTGCAGTTCCATGTGGATAACGGTGCAGGGCTGGTCACGGCAGAGGTTACCCCTCAGGGAGAGGGCTTCTGTGACGGACACTGGCATTCGGTCACTGCCTTAAAGACACGCCACAGACTGGAGCTAAGAGTGGACGGAGCTCAGAGTAGAGCTGAGAGCGACAACCCCAAAGCCAACACCTGCGAGACCAACGACCCCATCTACGTCGGCGGATATCCTGGTATGCACCAACATCACAGCTACCTGGTCCTTCAACTTAAAGACTTTAAAAAAAAATTACATTTCTTCTTTGAAAGCAGAATATTAGGGTCGTCTTTCAAAAGATTCAAAAAACACAATTGTTATTTAGTTTGTTTTAGTTTATTTCAAGCCCACAATAGAAAGAGTGCACATTATGTACAACAACAAAAACAGTGGTTGTAAGAAAACTCACAGCAAATCCAAGAAATGTCCCCGCTGCTTGAAAAGGATAGGGATAGCCCCCGCTCCATCTAAAATTCCTTCACACAATTTGTTGATATCCATGTGCTACATTTCTTTGGTCCGTCCAGTTTGTTCATAACTTACAAATTTATTTCCCTCACTCCCATCAACATCCTAAGTATTAAGTAGAAAATGAATTCATTTTTGCTTAAATGTTTCACAATAATCTTTCAACCCACACCACCCAAAAATCAAATTAAAAACCCATTTTTGCGCTAAGTCTTTTGTAGACATACACCAACAGGTGACCCTAAAAATCTCAAGTCTACCATACACCCACTCGAGATAATTTGGCAATTTTATAATTTAATTTGAAACAAACATCATACCAGACCTAGTTCGTTATACAAGTTCATATAAATATTTGATCCCAACCATTAAATAAACTCTTGAATCCAGTATTCCTACTGTACTCATAGTTAACACGACAAATCCACAGTCTCCACCATCCCACACATTAAAACCGTCAAAGCAAATCAGTTACCCACATGCCTTACCGCTGCTTCACCCACCCAACACAATATAAAAATAGCTCTTACTGTGATACCCCCCTGTCTCCGTACGAGTCTTTCCGCATTAACTTAATCTCCAAATCATTTTTAATTCCTATTCTTAATATCACACCCCTAAACATACAATACACCACAACACACAAACACAAACCTCATTCTCATACAATAATTCATTAACTCTTTCTCTCTTTCATAACCCCCTATCTACCCCCCCTTTCAATACAACCAATCCAATCCCACCCCACTTTCCTCACCTCCCAACCCCCCATATCCCAAACCTACCCAATTATTCCCCCTAAACCACAACCTTCCACACCCCTATTTCAACACACCCTCACCCCACCTTACATATTATAAACAAATCCTAAAAAAAATTCAACCCACCTCAACCTATTACTACTTCAACTACCCCCAACCACCTACCAAACCCCCCAAATCATCAACAATATCACCCCTCCTATCATCAACCACTAATCAACTCCACCCCCTCCCTCCCTCACTAAACCAACCAAACAACAAACACCCCACCAAAAACTAATAAACCCAAACCCCACCCTAAACACACACTCATCTCCAAAAACACCAAACAATATTACTCTCCACATTTCTCCCCAAACCATTACCCTCTTATCCTAACCATAAACAATATAAACAACCCCCCAAATACCAACTACCCCCCCTAACCCCCCACAACAATCCACCATAATATAACTAAAACCCCCCTACTACACTCAACAAAACACCCAATACACCTACCCCTCCCCTCTTCACACACCCCGCTCAATACCCCACAATTACAAAACCCCTAATAATAAAACAACCTTCACACAACCCCTCCCCACATCACCCCAAACCACCACCAAAACCTCCTCAAACCCTACTCCCCCACAAATCCCCCCTCAATACCACAAACCCACACATCAATCTACTACACTCCTACTCTCTGCCTATACCAGACACTACCCCCCCCCCCCTCACCCCCCCTACCTCCCACCCCCCCAACATCTACACCTAAAACCTACTTTAAACCCTCAATACCCCCCCACAAAATAAAAACTAATAACCACCCCCCTCCCAACCTACAAAACCCCCCACCTACATCAACAACAACTATAACACTCCCCCATAACCACCCACCCACAATAACCACCCCCCCCTATAATACCAAAAAAAACACACCTATACACTCTCCCCCAACACCCCACAAACCCTCAAAAAACAAACCAATTCCAATCAATTACAAAAAAAAAATAATAATATAATCATCTCTCACCCCCTCCCCATACCTCCAACCCTCACCCCATACCACCCTCTTCAATATCCCTAATCAACCCCCCTCCCTTCTTCACCCCCTCTCCAACATAAAAAATTTCTTCCCTAATTATCCCCCCATCCTATACCAATTACCTCCCCCCCCCCACAATCACCCCCTATCCAAATCCATACATCAAATTTAATAAACCTTCCTCCTACTTCTCCCCCCCATAAAAACACCATATCAACTCCACCCCAAATCCATTACTCTTATAAATTTACTAATATAAAATAACAATATAAAATCTAACACAATACCATCATATATCATCCACTATCCACCAACTCCATACACACACACCCCATATATAAATACCCTCTACAATATAAATAAATCTCAACATATCCCATCCAAATCCCCCAAATTTCACCTCACTAAAAATCCCATGTCCCATACCACCCCCTACCCTATTCCACATCTCTCTCCCTTCCCAACAAAACTTCCCCCAAATCCCACTTCTTAAAACAATAAACAACCCCCCTCTAATTTACCCCACCCTCATCACTCAAAAACCCACTTCCACCCCAACAACCCACATCTTATAAAACCCCTCCCATAATCACATCATTCCCTTAATATAACCACCCACACACCAGCCCATAACCACCCAAACCCCAACAAAAAAAGTTCTTTTCAAACAACCCCCCACCCCTAAACACCCATTCATCCCATTCACACATCCCTTTCTAAACCCTAACACCCCCAATCCCCCTATCTTCAATAACACAACTTACCCTCCCACCCCCCCTTATAAAAAACAAAAACTACAACCCTTCCTCAATCTCTTTCCAATACACATCCCCTTACCCCACCCCAAAATATCCTCTATCACTAAATCTAATTCTTAATCCATCCTCATCTCCCCAATATTCCAATCTTTCTCGACCCCCCCCCCACCCCCACCCACCTCTCCACATATATTTTTCCTTACCATACTTATCACCACCTCTCCAATAATAACACAACCTCATTATTACACCTCCAACCCCTTATCCATACCCATTCCATCTACAAATCCTACTAAAATAACAAGATCATTCCTCAACCCTCCTTTCCCCACTCAATACTACCAAATCAAAACCCTCTCCAAACACTTCCTTAACTCCCCTCCCAACAACAGAATCCAAAACCAACCTCACCACACTCATCCACTAACCAATATTATCCTTCCCCATACAAATTCTCCCACCTCCCCACACCTCAATACATTCTCATTTTTTTTACCCCCTCCCTCGTCACAAAAACTATATATATCTCTCTTACTTCCCAAATTACACCACCCAACCTCTTACCTACTCCAATATATTCCTAAACTCCATAATAACCAAACCTAAACAACCATTAACTACTGTTTTCCATTTGCCACCACAAACCCCAAAAAAAAACAACCCCGCCACTCCCCCAACCACCTCCACTTAATCCATTAAAACCCACCCGCACCCCCCCACTCCTACCACATTCTTCTCTTCCACCTCATCACAAAAATATCATAAACTCCTACACCCCATCCAACTCCACCCCAAAATAATAAACCAATACACTATAAAAAATAACCCTCAACATAATATCCCAAAAACCTCCCCCCATAAACTCAAAAGACCCCCACTACAACCACCTATTCTCATTTCCCCCCCCTACCCCCCTCCAACCATCCCCCCTCCATATACCATTTCCTCCCACTTCGACCTTTTCCTTGTCACCAATATTCATAGACCCACCCCTACCGCCCATTAACCAACAACTCTGTATGGTGAGAGATATGAAATATATTTATATATATATATATATATTATATATATTATATATATAAACATATTCAATCACACCCTCCCCACCTTCCTTCCTTCTACCTACCTAATCCCATTCCCATCCAAACCCACCACCCCTCATAAACACCCAACACCCCCCCAAACTAATCATAATCCTACACAATACAACTCTATAACCACAAAAAAAATATACCATAAACACCACAAACCAAAAAAATCCAAATAATATTATAACACCACAACCTCCACAATACCACATTAATTCCCACTCATTTCCATCCTTTACCAATAATATAATATACATAAAAACCCAAATACAACCCCCCCCCACAACCACAACAACCCCCACACCCTCCTACACCCCCCACCCCAAAAAAACCACCCAAAACCACCCATAAAACCACCCCACACCCACCCCCCCACACCACCACCCCCCCCCAAACAAACCCACAAAAAACCCACCCAACATCACAATCCCAACCCACCCCACAAATCCCCCCACACCTCCCACTCTCACCTACTCAAAAACATTATTCCCCCCCAACCCATACCCAACCCCCCCACCACATAACCACTACACCACCACCCCACACACCAAAAACCTACCCCCCACAAACCCCCTTCACCCCACCCCCCCCCATAACCCACAACCCACCCACAAACACTCCAATCCATACATAAACATTCTACCAACATCACACCACACTAACAATACTCTAACCCCAAGTACCCAACCACCCTTACCCTACCAACCCCAAATACACATACACAACCTAACAACATATCCACCTTACCACATACACCTACAATGTCATATATACCCAACCAACTACCATACACCCCCCTATTACCACACTCTACAACCTATTAAACAATCCAACCACCCCAATAACCCCCCCCACAAATCAACGCCCACCAAAAGTTTCCTTAACATATTCCCTCATTTCCCAACAAACCCCCATTTCCAAACACCAACCACATATCACACAAAACTTCCATACCCACCAACACCACTCCTCTACAACCCACTCTACCCCCCACACCCAAAACCAATCCCACCCACATCCCAAACCCAAAATCTCTCTTATCACTCTCCCCCACACCTACAAAAAAAACCACCTTCCTACAAAAACCTAAACCATAACACTATCACACATCTCACATAAATACCCCATCCCCCACCACACACCCTCTCACAATCAACCCCACCCACCCCCTAACCCAACTACCAACCTAAACTTACAAATACTACATACCACTCCCCATACACCCCCTCAAACCAAACCTCCCACCCTCCCACAAACACCAAAGTACCCAAAACCATATATACTATTTCCCCCCATCCCCACTATATTCCACACCAAACCTATCATTTACCCCCATCACCACCTTAATATCCCCACCCCCACCACTAAATACCAACTACCCCCCTACCCTCTTCAATAAAACCATCCACCTCCTATCTTCTCCAACTCACCCCATATCCTACTAAACAGCTACTACAAACCTTACCTTCCATACCCCCAAACTAACTCCCCAAAACCAACCCCTCTAAATAACCCAACATACTCCCTCCACCCTTCCCCCCAACAACAATACACCCACCACCCTCACCCCACCCCACCACTCACTTCCCAACCCTAACCTACAATAAAACCCCTCAAATCCCCCCCCAACCCCAATACCCCCCACAAACCAATATATCTCCACAACAATCCCAAACACCTCAACAATCCATATCAACCACATACACCACCATCACAAAAAAAGAACCCTCACATTCATCAAAATACATCCAAATAGATCACACCCCACCCATCAATATACTACTCACCCCCATTCACCACCCCCCCAACCCCCCCCCTACCCCCCCACCCACAACCCCACATCTACAAACCCAAACCAACCTCCAAACCCCAAACAACCCCTCCAAAATCAAAAACTAAAATATATAATAATCCATATATATACCATCCCTATCCTCCACAATCTAACAATCCCTCTCATCCCCCCCCCCCATCCCAACAACAACCCTCTCTACATACCCCCAATCCCCCTAATTACATCCAAATCCACCATTCATCCTCACATCCTCATCCCTCTATTGTTCCATCCACACATTCTAAAAATACCCCCCCCCCCCAACACCCCCCCCCAAAAAAAAATAAACCCCCCTCACTCCCACCATAAAATACAATAAACACTATAACATCAATCTTCCACACCATTCTCAAAAAAACTATAAATTTCCCCCCATTACCCACCCCCCACTTCAAAACTTAACAATAAACAAAATTAATCACATACAATATCAAATTAACCCCTTATTCTTTCTTTCACCTCCCCCACTATCCCCCCACCCACAACTTTACCATACCACACATAAAACCCCAATCCTCCCAATCCCCCATCCACCACTAACCCTCCTACAAACCCCCTCTCCTCTCCACTACCACCACAAAACCTCCTGACCCCCTCCACACACTATATACCAAACATCTCCCCACACCCCCCCATACTTCCTATCCATATACCTCTACACACCCCCATCAATCCCCTTTAAAACAAACCAACCACCCAACCCCCCCTCTCTCCCTACACAAACCCAACACCCCCCACCCCACCTCCCCCATCCCACTTATCACACTATTTAAAATAAAATATCCAAACCCACAAACAATATCATATAACTCACCTCCTCACCAACCACATGCCCACTCCCCCCTAACCTCACCATACTATACCAACCCACAAAACCACAATTAAACCCCATACCCCCACATCTCCTACCCCCCCTCCTACCCTCCAAGCATCCCACCCACACCCAACAACCAACCCCACTACAACCCCAAAAACACACACCCCACCCCCCCAAACCCAACCCACCCCCCCCCCCCCCCACCCCCCACCCAAAACCCCAACCACCCACCCCTCACCCACCACCCCCCCCCCCCCCCCCCACACCCCCCCAAACACACCCCCAACACCACAATCCACCACACCAACCACTAACATCCCTACCACTAAACCAAACTCCACTACCTCTCCACACCACACAAACAACCCAACCATCCCACCACCCACCTACTTACCTAACCACCCAAACACACTACCACACACACAAACCCCTACCCACAACACCCCCACACCCACCATACCAACCCCAAACACCAATACCAAACACCCCAACCCACAACACTCTACATCTATCCAATACCCCACAACTAACCAATAATTCAACTACACCCCAATTACATATATAAAAACCCAACAAAAACCCCACCTACCACCAACCACAAAACTAACTACACCCTAACCACACCCCCCCAACCCACACCCAACAAAAAAACCCCACAACAAACCACCACACACAACCACCTACCCCCCAAAACCAAACAACCACAACCCCCATCACACAACCCAACACCCTCCCAACTCCAAAAAAATACATCCAAAATACAAGACCCACCCATACAAAATACACCCCCCCAACACACTCACCCACACATCACTACCAAACAACAACACAACACAAAAAACCCTCCCCCAATACCCACCCACAACACAACCAACAACCCCATCAAAATATCCCCACCCCCCCCAAACCCACTCCCAACCCCCCCCCACCCCAACACCAATAATCCACCAACAAAAAAAACACATCCATCACCACCCACCAAATACCTACCCCCCAACCAAAACACCCAAAAAACAAAACCAAACCAAAAACCAATACCCCCCATCCCAACCCACCCCCCCCCCCCCACATCCCCCCCACCACCACTCCAAACCACCTAACACACTCACACCCAACCAAACACAATACCCCATCCTAAACCCCCCACTCATCCCCCCCCCCCCAACCCCCCCCCCCCCCCCCCAATCCCCCAACCCCCCTAACCCCCCACCAACACCCACCCCCCCCCCCCACAACCTCCAACAAACACCACTCCACCACCACCACCCCCACCCCCCCCCCCTAAACCCCCCCCACAACACCCATCATACATCCAAACTAACACCCATACCATTCCTCCACACACCCAGACTCCCCAAACCCAGACCCCCAACCAACACACCCACACCCAACCCCATCACTAACTATATCAACCACAACACCCAACCACATCCAAAACACCCCACCACACCCCACCACCCACACCCCCCCACCCCCCTTCTCCCTCCTTCTCAACCTATCCCCACCCATTACCCATACCCCACTACCACCCCCCCCCCCCCTCCCAAAACACCCTACCACCCCATTCCCCCTACACCCCCCTCATAAACCCCTAACACCCCCTCCAACTACCCCCTAAACCCCCCCTACCCTATACCACACCCAACACCACAACTCATCCCCCCCTACATCCACCCCAAACCCCAACAAAACACTAACCCCACCCCCAAACCATTACCCATTAAATCCCAAATCAACCCCCCCCCCCCACACCCCCCCACACCCCCACCCATCCCACAACCTTACCACCCAACCAATAACACACCCCAAACCCCACACTACACAACCCCAGACCCCCACCCCAAACACCACCCCCACCACCCAATACCCCCCACCACACCCCCCCATACCCACACAAACAAAATACACCCACTACCCCACACCCCACCAAACCATCAAACCCACACCACCCCTACCTACCAATATCACAAGAACCATACCCTATCACCACTACCTAAAAACCCTCACCACACCACAACCCCCACCCCCCAAACCCCCCACAAACCAAAACAAAACATACCAATACCAACCACACAACTAAACCCCACCCCAACCAACTAAACTACCCATCACCCAAAAACAAAACCCCAACCCCCTCCAAACACACAACCACACCCCCCCCAACCCCTACCTACACACCCAAATCAAAAAACTAAAACCCACACTTCTACATTAAAATACCCCAAAACCACCCTTTCCAACCCAACCACACCCCATACTCCCCAAATATAATCTACAAAATACTACACACCCCTCATAACATACCCTCCCTACCATACCCTAAACAATCTCTTACCATACCCCCCCCTTACCCCACTCTACCTTATTCCTAACCCTCCCCCCCCCCCCAACTCCACCCTCCTACCACTCAACACCACAAACCAATCCCCACTTTACCCCAAACACACCTTAAATACTCACCTACCACCACCTAAAACCAATCCAACTCCCATAACACTAACTAAACTACCTCCTAACCCCCCACAACCACTCATCACCAAACCACAAACCCACAAAAACACTAACACCTAAACCTCAACCACTACCAACTACCTACCCACAACCCATTTCCTCATAAACATCCACACACCACCTATACAACCACAACCCCCTCACCAAACCACCATCCCCCAACCCCACCTAACCCACACAACCACCCCCAATAAAACCACTTCCCCAAAAACCACTTCCACCCCATCATCTAACACCCCATAATCCACCCACCAAAATCTCCCCCCTCAACCAATCTTCACAAAAATAACCCTACTCTCCCCCCCTATCCAACCTCAATAAAAATACAAACAACCCACCCCTCCCTATGCCCTAACCAATCCCCCCCAAACCCCCACTAATCTCCCCCATAAATATACCAACCCATGAACCCCATCATCCCCCCCACCAATCCTCCATATATCAACCAATTCAAATATACCCCCAATCCACCCCCATCCACTCATTCATCACTCCAACTCCTCCCCCCCTCCCCAAAAAATTCCCATAATTACCACCTTAAATTCTATCTCTCACATCATAAATCTCCCACTATAATTCATACCATCCCACTTTTCACCCTCCTCCAATCCCCACTCTATCATCACCTCTATTTCTACCTCACTCTTAACTCGTCCTTCTCATCCTATACTCTAAATATTCCTACCATATTGCACACCCCTCCCCCATCCTTAAACTCTCCTCCCTCCTAACTTCATCCTTTCCCCCCCCACCCCCCCCCCCACTCCCAAACATTCCCTATAACACATACATCATCTTACCTCTCTATAAAACTAAACCCAATCTAACACATTTCCCCAAAATTACTGCCCCTATCCAAACTAAATCCTACCCCCTCTCCACCTCCTCACCCTCTCTACACCCACACCTAACAACCCCACTCACCATAATCACTTCCATATGCCCCCCCAAGTTCCACACACCACCCATTACTATAAAACCACTCAACACTCTTACCCCCCAATTTCACATGTGCCATATTACCATCCTCCCACCCAACCTATTTCACCCCATCCCACTACCATATAACACACATAAACAACCCCCATCTACTCCCACCCTATCCTCTCCCCATAACTCTCCCCCTCAAAACCACGCCCTAACTTCAAAATTCACACAAAAATAAACCAAACTCCATATCCAATAATTATAAATCCACCCAACCCCCCCACAACTAAAAAAACATCATCAAAAACAAACATCACCACTCAAATCAACTATTTCATCAACACTCTATAACAATCCTAAAATACCTCCCCAAAAAACTATTCACTACCCCCAAAATCCAAAACCACCTCATTACACAACAACACAAACACTTCCAACAATAACTATTTCCAGTCCAACCCAATTACACCTCACTCTAAACCACCTCTCCAATCAACCACACAAACACCACCCCACAACACAAACCAACCACACACAACCACCACTAACAACCCCATCAACCGCCTCTTCCCAAACACTCACCCCCAACAACTCTCCCCTATCCCATCACTAAACCACCACAAAAACACCTACCACACTCACACACCTCAAAATACAATCATACACAAACCACCAACAACCACAACCCCCTCCCCCCACCACACCCACACCCCAAACAATAACAACTCCAACCCACCCCACCAAAACCCTAACAACCATAACCAACCCATACCAAACCCCCCACCCACACTAACACCCACATCACCCCCCCACCCAACCCCCCACCCCCCCAGACACACCCCCCCCCTCCCCTACCCACCAAAATTACCCTCACCCCCCCCCCCCACCCCCAACCACAACACACAAAACCCACACCCACCAACACCCACCCCACCAACCCCTACCTCCAAACCAACCCCCCCCCCCCCCCAACACCAATCACCCCCCCCCCACATCTACCAACCCACAACAACACCCCCATACACCCCCCTACCCAACACACCCCACCACCCCCCACCCTTCTCAACCAACACCCACCATACAATCATCACCCAAACCCCCCCACCCTTAAAAACAACACCCACCCCAACAATCACAATAACACAAACCTATATACACCCCCTTCCTACCAACCCACCAACAATCAAAATTACCCCCCAACCCCCCCCCCCACCACACAAAATACAAACAACTAAACAAACTAAACCATCCATCCAATCAACACACATCTCCCCATCTCCCTATCCCCCAAACCCCCCCCCATAAAACACCCACCACTACAACCCACAAATCCTACCTACCCACAACCATTCCCACAAACCCTACTCACAACCCACAACACAAAAATCCACCCCCCCAAACCCTACCCCTCCAAAACCCTATCTCAACAATACAACACCCCTACTTAAACCACCTACCCTAACTAACAAAAAAATCAACATACCACTTCTAAATCCCACCATCCTACATACCTAATATCACTTTAATCCTCCACCTCTCATACCCACAACCAATAACCCACCCATATTCCTCCTCCACCCCCTTAAATAAAATCACACCCCACCACCATCCCCCCCCATTCCCACCCATCTACAAACACAATTTCTAAATCCCCCAATCTCCTTATCACCCTAAACTATATCATCCCCCCCCAAATATAATCAACCAAAACTCATTCAACTTATCTATCCATCATTGAACTCTCCCTATACACCCCTATTTTATCTACCCCCTTTTTACCCTCTTTACATCTTTTCTTTCTTTCTTACCCACCCACCCCCACCCCCCCAACAAACAACAAACACATAACCCCACCACCTAAAATAAATACACAACCCCAAAATATAATCCAACAATCCCAATCCACACCCCCTACACAAACTACACCATCAAAACTCTCATTCACGACCCCCTCCCCACCACCCCCTTTCCTCTACCACACCCATAATAAACAAAAACAACAAAATTTTTTCTCCTCCTACCTCAAAAACCATTTTCCACCTAATAACACACAATTACCAAAAAAACACTACACCCACCCTCTACCCACCCACCCCAAAACCCCCCCATCCCATCAACTATACACCAAACATCACCTCCAACAACCCCACCCCCCCAAACCCCACACAACCCACTAAAAAACACACCAAACCCCCTCCAACAAACTCCCCCCCAAACCCCCCCAACCCAAAAAAACAAAAAATAAACCCCAAAAAATATCCACCAACCCATAAAATACACCCCCCCCATAACCCCACCACCCCAAATACCCTTCTCCCAACCCCCCAAACACCCCTCAACTACAATCTACCTCCACAAACCCCCCCCACCCCAACCCCCACCCCACATACCCCACAATAACAAACAACATAACCACAACCAACCCCATCACCACAACCACTATAAAAACCACACCCCATACCCACCCCCACCCCCCACCCCAAACAACCCCCCACACAAACACCTATCCATAACCCTTCTCCTCCCCCCCCCCACACCCCACAACCATATAAATAAATATATATATATAACAATAAAAATACACATTATCCCCATCTACGACCCCACACCCCCCCCCCACAAAAGATGTCCAACAACCCCCCCCTACCCACCAACCAACAAAAAACCCCCCCCACCAAACAACCCCCACCCCCCCCACCTAAACCCACACAACCAAACCCCCCCCCACATCTTTCACCCACACACACAACATTCACTCTCCAAATCCCATAAAACTACACACCCAACCCCCCCCCCCAAAAACCCCCCCCCTCACCCAAACAGCCCCCTACCCCTCCATTAACCCACAAACCCACACCCCCCCACCCCCAAACCACCACACCCCCCACCACCACAACCACCCCCCCCACACAATCCCCACATAACCAAAACCCACACAAACCCCACCTCATACCCCCCCCCCACCACCACACAACACCACCCCCCCCCCCAAACACCACCACAAAACCACACCACAAACCACAACCCACACAAACCCTCCCACAAACACAAAACCAACCCCCAAAACCCCACCCCCTACCACCCCACCAAACCACACAAAACAACAACACCCCCATACCCCCCCCACCATCCAACACCCACACCCACAACCTCACCACACCCAACCCCCCACCCAACAATCCCACACACACCCCTCACAACCCCACACCATACCCTCACCCCCCCAACCAACCCCCACTACACACCAACCCCCCCACCCCCACCATTCCACCCCCCCCCCTTCACCTACACAAATCACCCCACACCCCCCCAATAAAACCCCAAAACTCATTCTTTCCACCCCCCATCCCCATCCCAACCCCAATCACCACCCAACATCTACCCTATAACCCTTAACCCACCCCACCCTACCACACACCCCACCCACCCCCCCCACAACACCATCCCACCTTCCAACCACACCATTAACACTTAACACCCAATTCACTTCCCCAGAAATCACATACCCACCCACCCCCAACCCACCCCACACCACAACACCCACCCCCCCCACAATCACCCCACCAAATAAACCTCCCCCCAACTCCCATTCACAACCTACCCCTCATTACCCCCTCAAAACCAACTTTCCCCCCCCCAAATATCACACCCCCCCACCCAACCCCCCCTACCCACCACCACTAACCACCAACTATTATCACTCCTCCCCATCCACCACACCCCCCCACCCCACCATCACAACCCCCCCCATCCCCCCCCCCCCCCCCCCCCAAAATCCAACACCCTATACCCTCACTACCCCCCCCATCCCCCATCACACCAAACCTAAACACCTCTCCCCCTAACTACACCCCAAAACCAATACCAACAAACCCACCCCACCTTACCCCTACTATCATATACACCACCCCCCCCACAACCAAACAAAAAAAATCTAACAAACCCAAAAACCCCCCAAAAAACCACTCCCATAAACCCCCTCCATTCAAATACTATATAACTAAACAATCACCCTAAATATACACCACATCCCTCCCAACTAACCCCCCCAAACCTAAATCAATACACCACACCCCATAATCCCTCTCCCATCACCCCTTAACACCCCTCCAAAACAAATCACCAACCCACCCCAATTAAAACCTAAATTCTTAAACATACAACATCTAAAACCCCCATATACACTCTCAACCTCCCCCCCCCCCCCAACCCAACCCCTACAAATCAATCTAACCCTTCCCCACACCCCACCCCACAACCAACCCTACCTCAACCCTTCCTCTTCCTCACCCATACCACCATCATTAAACATCTCCAAACATCCTCTTCTAACACCACCTCACCATTCCACCATCAAATTCAAACAACACCTCTATTCCAAACCCCACTTTCCCACCACCACAACAACCAAAATAAACAATCCCAATAACACATTCCCCCCCCCCCCCATCCATATAACCATCCCCCACACATCAAATCATCCCTAACCCCTTTAAAACCCTTTCCACCCCCCCCAAAAAACCAACTCCCCCACACACACCCTCCCCCCAAACACACTCCTCTCAACATACTTTAATCAACACATTTAAAACCTCACCACCCCCCACCACAAACAACCCAACTCCCCACTCCAAACCCTTCCCCAATCCCCACCACATATCCCCATACTTTACAACCAATTTTCTACCCCTGACCCCCACAAATATACAATTCCCCTCTTATCCCCCCTCACCCCCCCCCCCACCCCTCCCTCCCCCCCCCTTTCCAACAAACACCCCAATAACTACTAACCCCAACCATCCAATCCCCCATCGTCCTATACATAATCACCCATAATCCAAAAAAACAAACAAATTCCAAATCTCCACCCCCCCCCCCCCCCCACCCTCCCATACCAACACCACAATCCCCCACCACCTCCAATCATACCCCCCCCACTTCTATTTCCTCATTCATGTAATTCTACAAACAACCTCTCCCACCCACTTAAATACCTCTTACACCCCAAACCCAAAACAAACAACCCACAAAAAACTCCCCCAGTACACCTACCCCCCACCTCACCCCCCCCCTCTCCCCCCCCAAAACCCAATTTTAACCCATATTTAACACCCCACAAACAAAAACCTACCATCCTCCACCCCCCCTACACAAAATCCCCCATAACAAAACCCTAAAAACTCTCCCAACATTCCAATTCCCCCTTCACCCACCCCCCTTTACATCACCCTTAACCTTCCATTCCATATACGTACAAAAACACACACACTTCCCTCCCAACCCCCCCCCATCTATACACCCCTCTTCCAAACCCCCAATCTTGACATCTATTCCCCCCCCCCACCACTCCTCCTCCCCCAACCTCCACTCAAAATAAAAAAACAAAATTTTCCCCCACTTACCCTTGCATCCCCCCCCCATACCACCCACCCATCAAACCCTATTCAACCAAACCCCCCCCCCCACCTACCCCACCATCCCCCCCAAACAAAAACAAACCCCCCCCCCCAACACCCAAACCCCAACTCCACCTCACACCCTACAAAAAACACAAGAAAAAACATCCCCCACCCTCTTCCCATCATAACCCCACAAACTGTCCCCATTCTTTCCCTCCTTCCCCCCCCCTAAATTTCTCCCCATCACCACCCCCCTCAACCTGTCCCACTTCCCCCAAACATCCTCCATTCCACCCCCCTCCACCAAATTCACACCCCCTCACCCCAAAAACCTCCTACAACCCCATCATCCCCTTCTACCTACACCCACCACAAAAATACAAATATAATACCAACAAACTAATCTCTACCACCCCCTCCCAAAAGAAACTAACATCTCCCCCTAACAAACCCCCCATCTCAACTAGTCCATCTCTTCTAACATTCCCCCCCTCACCTCAACCCCATATCCAAATCAATTCTCCCCTCTTTTCTTTCCAACTTCCCCCATATCACACTGTGTGCCCCCACCCCCAAAACCTTAATACCCAACCAAAATCACCACCCCACAACCATCATCCACCATTAACACCCTAACCCTCATTCACCCCCCTCTCCATCAAACCACCTCCAAAATTCCCAAATTTTCCCAAACCTCATTCAATCCCATCCCACAACCCACCATAACAAACCCCCCCTATGTAAACCCCTCCTTCCCTACTCCACCCACCCTTCCCCCACTACTCACCCCCCACCCACCTCCTCTCCCCCTCCCCCCGCAAATCAAATATCTATTTAACCAATATTTCCCCCCACCCCACAAATTCCCAACAACCAAAAACCCACCATCCTCACCCAACACCCCCCCAAAACAACACCACCTATCCAATCCAAACTATCCTCAAATCTCCCACCTTCACCATCATACCCTTTACACTACAAACATAATCCTACAATCACCCAATATAATTATTACCCAACATTCCACCCCCCACCAAATATCCCCCCCACACAAACATAATAGAACCCCATCCCCCCATTACAAATTATTTACCACTTCCCCTAATTAACCACTAAATACAATCCCCCCACATATGACCTCAACCCACCCAATCCAATAACAAATTGCCATAAAATTTATAACCCGCCCCCCCCAACAATACATCCGTCAAATTACCCACATATAACAAAAGTCCCAAACTCTCTAAATTTACCAACCCTAAAACTCCAAAACCAACCAAACCATTCCCCCACCCCCCCCACCAACGCTCAAACTCCATAAAAACACCTCTACCCCCCTATCTTACCCTCTAACACAACATTATTCAATAACATACAAACACCTACAACCACTCCCACTCCAATAACAGACTCTTATCCGATAACAATAAACACCCCCACAACCACCTCAATCACAACCATAACACCACCCTTCATTAAATTTTTTAACACTAACACATCATATCCCCTCCAACCACTACATAATACGCTCACCAACCAACCAACCCATTTCAACATAACACCACAAATCCACATATAACAACCCACCACACCTCACCCTAACCACTTCCACCCCCCTACATCCCATCACACCCACACAACCACTCATACAACAACTCCCACTTTACCACTTCCCACCCCACATTAACCACCATTCAACAACCCCCACAAATCCTCTCCCCAACACCCACCCTCCTCTTCTTCAAATAAATAAACCATTCACTCCTTCCCCCAACAACACCTCATAACACAAACAACCCCCTCCCCCCCCAACCCTACACCCATCCCCCCCCCCCTCACCCCCACCTCCCACTCACATCCTCATATTTAAAACACCGTTACACATACCTTCTTATCTATAAGACCAAAACCCCATCTAAACATTTCCAAAAATTCTCCCACTATCCATACTATTCCTACCCCCTTTTCCCCATATCCCCATTTATTTCCCTACCCTACTTCCATCCCACACTAACCACAACACTAACCCCTTTAATATCCCCCTTAAATCCTATATAACCCATTCAACACAATACCACCATTCATTTAACACACTCAATACTCACTTTCCTTTTCAACACGATACCTCCCCACCCAACCTATTTACACCCCTCCCAATACCCCGACTCCACCTTACCCCACCCCCTCACTCCACCTCTCCCTTCCCCTAAACACCCTTATTCGCAAAATATTTTCAAAACTTCCCAATACCAATCCCAAAAAATATACCAACCCACCAAACTCAAAAAAAACCCACCCCAAACCATCCCCCCCCAACATAATTACATCACACCCAACCTACAACACCCACTCACCTCTAATCAATTACTCTTCTTTCCACATATCATCCTCCTCCCGTCATACAAATTTCCCTATCCATTCTTACTACCCATCTCCCTCCCCTTTACTCTTCCTCCCTCATCCCCCCCCCCAATTCTATAATTCCCAAATATCATCTCCTAATCAACCATAAAACCCCACCTCCCCCAACCTTCCTCTCCATTCGTTCTCATCTTTTTTTTCAACCATTTCACAATCCTAAACCACCCCCCAAAATTCCCCCCCAACAAAAATCACAAAAATCACAAACTCATACCCATAATCCATAAATCCACCCACCCCAAATTCTAAAAAAAAATCCAACCCCCTTACCACTAAAATCAACTTTATCCATCCCCACTATACCATACTCCTCAACACCTCCACATAAAACTATTCCACAACCCCCCCACAATCACAACCACTCCTTTACAACACAAACACTTCCTACAATAACCATCACAACCCATTTACACTCTCACCACAAAACACCTCCTACAACACAAACACCCCCACAACACCAAACCACCTACACAACACAACCAACAACCCTCTACCCCTCACACCACTCCCCACACAACCAAACTTTCCACTATCCCCTTTCCTCAACAACCACATAAACACCTACCACACCTCCCAAACACCTCAATATCCACATAACAACCACAACAACCTCTCCAACCCCTCCCCCAACCACACCTATAACCCCCCTTTAACCTCCTATTATTCCTACTACATCCACCGCCACTTCCATATATTTCATAACTCCAAACCCCATCACTCTTCATCCATATCTTATATGTGCCTAAAATACAACCACCTCATACCACACATAATCTTCCCTAATCCCTTCACTTCAACAAGACCTCCCCCCCTATATAATGTATACACCATCCTCCTACCAAGCTTACCCATTATCTCTTTATCCCATCCTCCCACAACACTCTCCCTACCCCCCAACATTACCACCCCAAAAACCAAAATGTAACCAACTCTCCCCCACCTACATACCCAATCCACCCCATACCATCATATCCCCCACTTTCTATACCCTTCAC